AACATACTATTATTAGTATTATACAACAAGAAGCGCACATTATTGTTATATAGCCTTATTCTATAAGAAAAACCAAAATAAAAGATACACTAGAAAAAAGTACTATTAAACATATTTAACTTGCATTCGCTTTTAAAGGAGCTAAATCGCTAATATTTGGGACCTAGAAATTGTCACAAATGGGTCGCACTAACAGCGACATTTGTTTCAGGCATATTTGTTTCATCGGTGACACGTCTGGTGTCATGTGAATGCAACGACAACAGCCTGGTTGATTGATTTGTTGATTACATTAAAATCGACCACTTTCAGGTTGCCGTATTCACGGCCTGGCAAGGCCGACTTGAAATTTCTAGAAATTTTCTAGGGGAGACAGGCCCAAACAAATCCCCCGACGGTGCGTTTCACGAGTTCGGCACAAGACGGTGACCTTGAAGAGACGTCGAAAACCATTTAATAGACATAGTAAAAGTCATATCTTACGAGATTATCGCTGGTCTTATCGGAAAATGCTATTTTAAATTTGTCAGTTGTCAGTCATTTTGAAAGAAATGCCCGGCGCCATACATGTGCAAAATACATTTTTTGATTTTTGTCAAATTCGGTTTTCGGCACATTTCGCCTCTATGACCAGTTTGTGTTTGAAAGATTTAAAAAGAAATTATTTATTCTCCCACCACTAAAACACACTGATTACGAAATATCGCTCTCAGAAACTTCCTGGTTTCTTTTGCAATTTGTTTGGGGTAAGACGTTATCACTCCCCGCCTATGTATAAATAATATCAATCTGTCCACCACACAAATTTAACAGATACAAATGCATGTTATTCCACAGGTAGACAGACAGGGCCGCCTTTGAAGGGACTCAGTGAAGGGAACGCGGTTGGTTTAGAGATTGGGAGAGGGGGGGGGGGGTATGGATGGCTGAATGGTTAGCGTGCGCGCGCTGTATCATAAAGTCTGTCATTGAGTCGACTGGCGTGGTTTCGAATCCCCGGTTGTACGTGACAAGGAGTAGGGTCGCCTGTCCAACCTCGTGGGTTTTCTCCGGGTCCTCCGGTTTCCTCCCATTGCTAAAGACCCCAATGCGCAAGCGAATTATGTAAATAAAATAGAACCATATGTTAGTCCCGAAATGACCTAGTTTGTGTCGAGTGGACGTTAAACCCCATTTCTCTCTCTCTTGTTGGGTCTACACCTTTGTAAAACCGACCGGGGTATGAACGAGGGAGAGGTTTAGCTTTCTTAGGTTGGGACTATACTAGCAAATGATTCAGTCAGGTAGGCCTACCCGATAATGTGTATTAGTAGAGTACTTTAGCTATTTTTAATCCCTTCCGTTTGACAACAAAGACTTTTGGAAATAATAACTTCGTTTATTTAAAGCACACAATATAAATCAAGTTTTGCTTAATTTAAGTCTAAATCTCTGTAAATAGCCATTCGCAGATTTCTATAAAGCTGTACGGCTCCTTTGCGATCCGATGCGGGGTGCCAGTAGTTCTCGTACATGTAAATACCACAAAGTTCAGCAATATCCTCGTCACATATCATACCACCCCGAAATCTACATTCTCCAGCACAAGCAGTCATCATATGTTCACTGACTTCGTGAAGGTAATAATTTGTGCCGTACAGGCTGGTAATGAATACATGACTAGTGGCCTACCATGTGGGCAGTTCTGGTTCTTTGTAGGCCGTATTTGATGGGTATTCCAGGTTTTTTTATATTTCGTCGAGATCTTCCTGAAAGAGAAACGAAATGCATATAATCAATAATAACCATCAATAATTATAACTATCGTCATTGTAATCTATCGGTGCATTACTCACCTGTAGTACACGAAGAAAACAAAATTGAACAAGACATTTATCTAGAAAATAGCCATCAAACATTCCATCATCAGCCAAAGAACCCAATACATCCATCCATGACTGGACACATTGTTTTCGAACCAGGTTCCAAAACATTTCAATTCTCAGTACCACGATCCCCTCTCATCAAAAACGGACACCCTTTTCTTTCACGGACTGATTCGATAAAATATCCAGCAATAACTTTTGGATCATTGCTAGTCTGAAATACATTGAGCCATATAATACACCTGGAAAATCCGCCCATACAGCCATTGATACACAATCCGTATCGTTTTAGTTTGTCGTAGGAATCCAGATGCCACATATAGTTTGGCCCTTTGGCGTAGTATTGTCTTCTCTTTAAGCGTTTAGACAAACGCAGCTGTACACCAACAGTGTCAAGGATTTGCAATAAAGTTTGAAATGTGTGTCTCGAAATGTTTAAACCATTATGACGGCACTGTAGATGCAGCCAACGGTATCCCCCCAGTTCCATTCAGTTTTTTTCTATGAATAAAACAACTTGGAGAAGATCAGAATAGTTCTTTCTTCTGTGCAACCGATTCACTCGCAGAATCCTTTTCAATGTACTCAGACTAATTATAATGGAATGGGCTTGAGCCAACATTGACAATATGTGGCTATATTTTAACCCCAAATTGAAGTAAAACATACGAAGTCTGGATCTCATCCATTTCCGATAACTGAAAAATAAAATAAACATATTGTATACAAAACCGTCTATTCCTATCCACCAGTTCACGTTACAGACATAGTGGTACCATTTTCGTCCCCATTCGGCGTAATATATACATGTGTATAATACGTTATTAAATAGTGGTACGATTCTCCTCCCCAGTTGGCGTAATATATTGCATGTTATATACATAGTGGTGCCATGTTCGTCCTCAATAGTCGTAATATATATTATACATATATACTTACTGAATGTTCCTTAAAATGATGTACTGGTAAAGTCGAAAATGCTACCGATAGCCTACATAAAGTATCTTGTAATTACAAGATAGTGATTTATGTGCTATCTTATAATTACAAGATAGTGATCTATGTGCTATCTTGTAATTACAAGATAGTCAGAATAATTTTTTTTCATTTGATTGACCCTAATGGGCTTCCGTAATCAATATATTAATTCATAAATATATTTATATTAGGTTATTTAAAATATGTATTAAAAGGTTGTGCTATTCAATTTGAAACTTCAATCAAGATATAATTACACAAAATTAATTGTATGTACATATGATGTTAAAAATTGTTGCTAATCTGATATTCAGTAAGGGTAATCTTAGTTAATACGAGTACTACAATTCATAGTTAAAAATCAAATATTAGTTACTTTTCTAATCATTTATATTAAATAGTGGATTTATGGTGTTTTAACAATTACAAAGCTTAGCTTATATTTACGAGCTGATAAGATTTTACATAATAAATGAAATGAAATGAAATGAAATGGGGTTTAACGTCTTACTGTTCTGCTCTTAACCTGGGCTAATGAAGACGGGCATACGCCATACAGTGTGCTATGAGGGAAATTTTGCCCGGGCAGCGGCACTACGGCCTACTCTTATATCGAATTCCAACTGCCAAGGGATCTTTTACGTGCACGCCAATGTGTACACGGGACCTCGGTTTTTCGTCCCATCCATTTTACATAATAAGTAGCAGACTAGATTTCTGCCGTCTGCGCGACGCTGTGTCCCACTTAAAGACCTTAACTATAGACTGTGCTAGGTATGCAAGCCTTTACTTTCCAGTTCTATTTTAACACTATACATCATAGAAGTCTTGTTCTTCCAGTGCTCTTACAATTTAACACTGAAAAGGGCTATTGTAAACCTGTTAAGGCAGAATTCTCTGGAGATAAATAATTTAACACAACTATCTTACCTACATCTTTATTGTTTTGTTTGTTAGTCACTAAATATAGTAAATTTTGGGACATAGAAGTTTGTCATTTAAGTTTGAAGCCTATTTTCATGTTAGAATGTTCAACAATTGTCACTCCAAGGAGATTAATATTATGAATTGAAAATGCTTGATTGAAATGTATATAACATTTTCTCTGTACATTATTACCTTAATATAGTTCTATTTTAGCACTATTATATTTTAGCTTAAAGTCATCACAAAATGCAGTATATTTATATGTTTAAGATTTATATTTAAGTTTGAACCACATATTCTCGTTGACACTGACTGGTCATACTGTCATAATATATTTCATTTTTTTTTTCTACCGGATTATTTATGTTTTGATATTAAATATTTATTATTTCCATCCATTGCTATTTCTGTATATGCTTTGATGGATTTTTTGCTTTCGCAACTAAAAATCGGGGACATCTCAGTGTGCCCCCTGCTATTGTTCTCATGTAAGAGCACTGGAAGAACAAGTCTTCTATGATGTATAGTGTTAAAATAGAACTGGAAAGTAAAGGCTTGCATACCCGGCACAATCTAGGCTTAAACTGTCGTAACCTTATTAACGATCATTCATCATTCGTGGAAATTATTATTTTTCTCACACTATTGCAATTTAAGTTTAAAGTCACCAATATGATTAGGATTTATATTTAAAATGTAAAACAGTAAGGTTCTTATATTAATATTTGAAAGAAGTGTAATGGGTTTTAACCTCTCAATGCTCTGTTCCCACTAGCTCAGCAAAAGGAAATGAAATGGAAAATGCTTTAACGTCCTATTGTTCTGTTCCGAACTGGTCGGCCTATTCTGATAATGCGTTTCAACTGCAAAGGAATCTTTAACGTGTATGTCAAGGTGCACACAGGACCCCAGCCGCTCTTTCCATCCGAACGACTAGGCATTTCCCGCGCCACTGTCTAAGATTACGGTTTAAATTAAAGTTTGTCGTAAATTTTTTCATTGACATTGACTGCATAGTGTCCTAGCACCTGTTAACCATTCGGCCATCCAACCCCCTGAATTCTAATTTGTGTTTTGACTTGGAATGGTATGAAAATTATTGAGTTGTAGATTTAGCGTCTTTAAATGGGTGTATCTGGGTGACTGTTATTTACCTAGATTGGTTGAATGGGCTTGCTCAACAAAAACCGTCCCGGATGTTATAGATGTAATTCAATAGCAATTCAAAAACAAACGTATTCAGTGTAAGCAATATGCAGTAGTCATATTCAACTAATGTGCGTAATATTCATTGGCGATAGTCAACGTGTTCAACAAATGTAAGTAATATTCAGTGGTGAAAGTCAACGTGTTCAATAATTGTAAGTAATATACCAATCTTATTATAATCACATGTTTTATATTTTAACATAAAGACACGAAATGGGGTTTAACGCCATGCTTTGCTACTCGAAAATTCAAATTACTATTTCTTAGTCCCTTATTCGGCATGCAAAAATGAAATGGACTAAGTCGTATTAAATGAGGAATAATAATAGTCGTTGTCAGGCCCTCCGTCCTGCATCACTGACAAGGGGGAACCACGCCGGAAAATCTGGATGAACTTTCTCTGCCAATGCAGGGATCGAACACCCGACCTCCAGGCTAGCGAGCCAGCGTCTTACCCACTTAGCCACGTGATCCCCGTATTTCATAGAACTATGACCTATGTATTTCCTGTTTACTTACAGTTTTATGGATACACAATTACTGAGTTTAAAACTTTAAACATGTTTTAATTGTATTTAATTGTTATTTTTGTTGCATATTGTGTATATATTTGCCAACTATTTACATACCTGTATCATTTACTTGATAAAGATGAGAGTATACTCGTTGAAACGTCGCTAAGTATTAAACTCAGTAATTGTGTATCCATAAAATTGTACATTGTGTTAATATGTTCAATTACTAAATGCTAATCAAAGAAGGTTACTAAATGTCTTTGAAACAATTTAAAGAAACTAAATGTTGCATTTGCAATGGCATTTGGAAGAATGTTGCATTCGGAGGAATGTTGCAGAGTTTTAGAGAGAGAGAGAGAGAGAGAGAGAGAGAGAGAGATGGGGTTTAACGTCCACTCGACACAAACTAGGTCATTTCGGGACTAACATATGGTTCAATTTTATTTCAATAATTCGCTTGCACGTAGGGGTCTTTAGCAGTGGGGGAAAACCGGAGGACCCGGAGAAAACCCACGAGGTTGAACAGGCGGCCCTACTCCTTGTCACGTACAACCGGGGAATCGAAACCTACGCTACATGAAGATCTGACCGGTTGTAGCGATAGGTTGCTTCAGCGGTCATACGAGCGCCATTTGACCCTATGACGTCAGACATTTGATTAACCAATCAGCATGGATGTTACTAGTGGATTGCCCACAGTTCCGTGCAAAACACGCCTAAAGCTCGCCGTAACAGACAGTTTCATTGGATAACCTCTCACTTCATCCTGCGACTTTAATTAAAACATATCATTTTTGTTTTGTCTTTCAGTTAGAACTATGGCGATATTTACAACCAAATCAGACCCAAATGTCACTGGTGCCTGTGTCATCGTGTTTGCAATTTTTGGAACGATTTTCAACTGTGCAGCGATTGTAACTTTTCTGTTCAGTGGAAAACTCAGAACAAAGGGAATGTATATAATAATTGCAGTCATATCCTTTGTTCAACTAATACATAGCATCTTCGTACATCCAGTGTTTGCCAATTTTTATTTAAATATAAGCTTGTATGATTTTGATAACTGTCAAATATTGTTTGCTGCATCGGTAACATTCATAGTTTGTCGAGCAATAACCGTGTATTGTTTGTTCTTATTATTTGTAAACCACCTGATAAAACAACGATGTCCAAATGAATCTAGAGAAAGAAATACGGGAATCGTCGGTACCATCTTAATTTGTGTGTTATCTGCAATCGTCATCGTTCCAGTCATAGCAACACAATCCACGTCATCATGTGATGTTTTCCTCAATTATGATTTGCACATCGGGATGACTGTTCTCCAATATTTACTGCCAATTTTCCTTTTGTGTGTCGCGGGTATAAAACTGATCATCAGTCACGCAGTCAGTCGCCAACCCCGGGTCGTCGTGGTTCAAGATGGCCTTATTTCCCAAAGATCTTCAACTTTTCCTACTCATATTTTAGTTGCAGCGTTTATAGCCGTGGTCACCACAATGCCGTGGGCAATATGGAGTTTAATGAGAATCAGATGTTCTGTTGATGTCGATTGCAACCGGTATATTTTGATACGGGAGATAATAGTAATGGTTTCCCAGAGTATGCCTGTCTTTATGCCATTTTCCTGGCTTCTGGATAACGAGTTCCGGCAATCTTTTAAAACGATGTTGAGGCGAAAGGAAACTCAAACCAGAAATACAGCACCAGTGACCGCATACAGCACACTCCCACATGAACCAAACCAACTTACGTACACCAGTCTGTAGATAGGCTACCGATTTCTCACATCGTGAATACAGCGTCTTCAGAAAAAAACACAACACACAAACCCATAACATTTAAAGTCGACAAGTATCTAGAGGACATCTTTTTTCTTCAATTCCCATGCTTTTATAGATTATTGAATTTAACCACCAATAAAATTGAAAACAAATCGGCATTCCTAGAAAATTAGGGCGGTTTTGAATATATCACCAGCTTTATTCTTGTCTGAATATTGTAAACACCCTTCATCGAAGTTTACCAATCTGATTAAAACACAGATCCTATTTCGTTTCGTTTCGTTTCGTTTTACTTGTCTTTACTTCACTAGGATCTGGAAGAGTTGTTATCATTGACGTGTTTGAATGATGTGAGAGATTAGCCAATGAAACGGTCTGTTACGGCGAGTTTTAGGCGTGTTTTGCACGGAACTGTGGGTAATCCACGAGTAACATCAATTCTGATTGGTTAATCAAATGTCTGACGTCATAGGGTCAAAAGCCGCTCGTATGACCGCTGAAGCAACCTATCGCTACAACCGGTCAGATCTTCATGTAGCGTAGGCCATCGAAAGTATAAAAAAAACGAAACGAAATATAGATCTGTATTTTAATGAGATTGGAAGTTTACATACATTATGACGTCACATTAATAATGACGTCATTGTATTAATCATATTAAACATACATTATGCAAGAGCTAAATCTGCCTATTGCAGGTCTTTCTTTAGGCCTGAAATGTTATCTAAATTATTAATTAGACATTAATTAACTTATCCAAACCATAATCAACTCTCGATGTCATCGCTAGCCTGCGATATTTACTGGATTAGGATCCGATTTGCTGTTCAACTTTCATTCATGATTTATTCATGAAATGGATAATCTTCATTTCGAAGTTTGTCTTATCCGCAAGTTTGTTTTTATTTGCATGTAGTGCGACCGTTCTTCACCTAATCTTAAATATTTTGTAAATTTTTCGTTTATGTGTCTGGGTACTCGACTCGGCTATCTTTCAACATACATTATGCAAGAGCTAAATCTGTTTATTGCAGGTCTTTCTTTAGGCCTGAAATGTTAATATAAACTATTAATTAGACATTTATCAACATGAAAAGATTGATGCCATCTCAAGTGTCGGATTTTCACTGGATTTGAATCCGATCTGCTGCTCAACGCTCATTGATGATTAAATCCAAAAATGGATAATCGAGACTATGCTTTTTATCGTACCGACTTTAGTAATGATGACCGAGGCTAGGCCTAAAATTCAATCGCTAATATCTCGGTTCAGAGTGGAGCAACTTGACTGAAATGTTCAGCAAATTTTGTTTTCATCACCTATTTTAAAACTATTATAGTGAGAACTACCAACTCTGTATCTAATCTCCATAGTGTATCTTTAATATGGGATCACGGTGGCTAAGTGGGTAAGACGCTGGCTCGCTAGCCTGGAGGTCGGGTGTTCGATCCCTGCATTGGCCGAGAAAGTTCATCCAGATTTTCCGGCGTGGTTTCCCCTTGTCAATGATGCAGGACGATTGGCCTGACAAAGACAGCTGTCTAGTCTTTCGGAGGGGACGAAAGACCGAGGTCCCGTGTACACATTGGCGTGCACGTAAAAGATCCCTTGGCAGTTGGAATTCGATATATGAGTAGCGCCGGTGCCAGGGCAAAATTTCCCTCATAGCACATTGTATGGCGTATGCCCGTCTTCATTAGCCACGTTTAGGAGCAGGACAGTAGGACTTTAAACCCCATTTCATTTCATTTCGTATCTTTAATAACAAATTAAGCAACCTTGATTGGTATGGCTGTGCTCTAGGTTATGTATGTTTTATTCGAAATATCAGCAGGTACCCGAGCCTCTAATAAATGAAATGGGTTTAACGTCCTACTTTTCTACACCAACAAGGCTAACGAAGCCAGGCAGGCCCAAAGAGAGGAGATGCAACCGGTACATTGCCCCAGGGCCTGTGAAGCCCCATGGGCCCCATAAATATCATCTTTTTTTTTCTTTTTATTTACTTCAACATGTTTGGTATTTGTGTCGCAGAGCCCCCAGATTCGATCCCCGATACTCTATTCAGGCCATGAAGGGGTAAAGTGAGAAATCCTATTTTTTGTATAGTTGGGCAGTTCAGATGCTCATCTACATTACTTAAACGTTAATGTCCTTGTACAGGTGTGTGTGTTTGTGTGTGCGGTGGGTTGGGGGGGGGGGGGCTGGGGGATCCGGAAGATAAACATTTTCTCGGTGCAGTGGGCGCTTACGACTGCCCCACCCACGCGGACCCATTCACTTGATTTGATGTTTGTTGCTTGTTGCTTGCAATGTCTGCTGTGTAGGGCGGGAAGATAAACATTTTCTCGGTGCAGTGGGCGCTTACGACTGCCCCACCCACGCGGACCCATTCACTTGATTTGATGTTTGTTGCTTGTTGCTTGCAATGTCTGCTGTGTAGGGCGGGAAGATAAACATTTTCTCGGTGCAGTGGGCGCTTACGACTGCCCCACAAACGCGGACCCATTCACTTGATTTGATGTTTGTTGGTTGTTGCTTGCAATGTCTGCTGTGTAGTGTGTGTCTTGTCCGTGGTTTCGATTCCCCGGTTGTATGTAACACGGAGTAAGGAATCCTGTCCAACCTTGTGGGCTTTCTCCGCGTCTACCGGTTTCCTCCCACCGCTAAAGACCCCTACGCACAAGCGAATTATTGAAATAAATTGAACCATATGTTAGTCTACAAATGACCTAGTTTGTGTCGAGTGGACGTTAAATCCCACCTCTTTCTCTATTTAAATAATTCCCATCCTAAATTTATAATTTATTATTTTTATCATTATTAATGATATTATGGTTTGTTATCATACAGTAGGTCGCGGGTTCGATTCCGGTGTTCATCAGGATTTTTCGGCGTGGTTTCCCCATGTTGGTGGAGCAGGACATAGGCCCTGACAAGGATAGCTTTCAGTCGTTCGGTAGGCCCTACACACTGGCGTGCACGTAAAAGATCCCTTGACAGTTGGAATTCGATATAAGAGTAGGCCGTAGTGCCGCTGTCCGGGCAAAATTTCTCTCATAGCACGTCTTCATTAGTCCAATCGAAGCAAAACAGTAGGACGTTAAACCCCATTTCATTTCAGTTCATTTCATTTCATTTATCATAGAGTTATTTCTAAGCTCTGTGCATTCATAGACAGTCCTTTAACAGTATAATGCATTATTATTAAATTTAATAGAAACGGTATTATTCTATGGAATACTAACCTCATGGGTTTTCTTTGGGTCCTCCGCAAACCTCCCCCCCCCCTGCCCATTGCTAAAGACCCCTATGCGCCAGCGAATTATTCAAATAAAATTGAACCATATGTTAGTCCGGAAAATGACCAAGTTTGTGTCGAGTGGATTGAATACAATTTTTATTACTCTGCGACGTTTCTACTTCTAATCTTTATCAAGCAATGCTGCTGTATTTCATGAAATGAAATGAAATGGGGTTTAACGTCCTACTGTTCTGCTCCTATGCTGGGCTAATGAAGACGGGCATACGCCATACAGTGTGCTATGAGGGAAATTTTGCCCGGGCAGCGGCACTATCGCCTACTCTTATATCGAATTCCAACTGCCAAGGGATCTTTTACGTGCATTCCAATGTATACATGGGACCTCGGTTTTTCGTCTCATCCGAAAGACTAGACAGCTGTCCTTGTCAGGCCCTCCGTCCTGCATCACTGACAAGGGGGAACCACGCCGTAAAATCTGGATGAACTTTCTCTGCCAATGCAGGGATCGAACACCCGACCTCCAGGCTAGCGAGCCAGCGTCTTACCCACTTAGCCACGTGATCCCCGTATTTCATAGAACTATGAACTATGTATTTCCTGTTTACTTACAATGTTATGGATACACAATTACTGAGTTTAAAACTTTAATTGTATTTAATTGTTATTTTGTTGCATATTGTGTATATATTTGCCTACTATTTACATACTTGTATCATTTACTTGATAAAGATGAGAGTATACTCGTTGAAACGTCGCTTAGTATTAAACTCAGTAATTGTGTATCCATAAAATTGTACCTTCTGTTAAATATGTTCAATTACTAAATGCTAATCATTTAGAGAGAGAGAGATGGGGTTTAACGTCCACTCGACACAAACTAGGTCATTTCGGGACTAACATATGGTTCAATTTTATTTCAATAATTCGCTTGAACGTAGGGGTCTTTAGCAGTGGGGGAAAACAGGCGGCCCTACTCCTTGTCACGTACAACCGGGGAATCGAAACCACGCCAGTTGACTCAATGACAGACTTTATGATACAGCGCGCACACGCACCATTCAGCCCCCCCCCCCCTGCAGAATTGTAGTCCATTAACATGCATACAGTCCATAAACTCAGGATTGGTGTAGAAAAAAAGAAGATGATATGTTGCTCGGATGGGACGATAAGGCATTGGCAGCACGTTAAAGATCCCATGACAGTTGAAATTCGAAAATAGATTAAGCCGTAGGCAAAAGTTCCTGCATAGCACACTGCCTGTCCAATTATAACAACACCCAGACCTTGTCTGACGATGAAACATTTGACAACAAAATTATTAATTGTCATGGCTAAAATAAATCCTATGTATCGATGTCAACGGATATGACGTAACAGTGGGCCTATTTATATGTCATAGGAAGACATCTTATGCTTTGAATTGGGGACATTTATAATGTACAAGATGTCAGTCAAATAATGATGTAACATTATAACATAAGATTATACTCGTATACCACAGTACGCTAGTATATACAATGATTGATGATTTCAAGTTATTATAAATACTGACTTTATTCTACTGATAGTCAAAACATCTTCTGTCTTTCTACAGTAACGCATCTTCTTACATTAAACAAAGGTAAGTTACTTTAGTCTTATTTTTATAGATAGTAGACATTAGACTAATGTAAATCATCCCCTCTCTCTCTCTCTCTCTCTCTCTCTCTCTCTAGACACCCTTTCCTTGTGAAAAGTCGGGATTTAAAATCGGTCTACACTGGAATACGAACTCCGGGACATTCCCTTACGTGTTTAACGCCCGCTTTTACCAAGGGTTATATCGTAGACAAGGTGTCTTATTTTATTATGCTCGGTGTACGGGTCGCAGGTGTCTTTCCTGTGGAAAGAAACCGGGGTATTTGGAGTAAACCCACGAGGTTGAGAAGGCGCCCCTATCCCTATAGCCACATACGCTCATAGCAGGGATCGAAAACCACGACCGCAAGCCAGAGTTGACCGACCAGCCAGAGGTCGAATCCCGACACTCTAGACCACTAGGCCATCCCGATCAACCAGTGATATCGTAGACAAGTTGTCTTATTTTGATAAGCGCAGCGCACGCGAATAGGTCTCAGGGGTCTTTCCTGTGGGAAGAAAGCGGAGTGCCAGGATTGATCCCACGAGGTTGAAAAGACACCCCTATCTCCAAGCCACATACGCTTACACCACACTCGGCAAACCTCGGCAGATTCCGGAACCCTACATCTAGCCTCGGCTGTATAACAGTAAGTGATATGCACCAACGCCTATACATTTGCGATGCGGCACCGGTTTACTTATAAGGGAAACTTGCCCGCGTTTAGAAAGAAGTTCTCAAAATTGCGCCGTTCGAAGAGTGTGTAGAATTTTCAGTACAAATTTGTCCTTGTCTAGAGAAAATCGGATAAACTTGAAAGAAAAACAGCTTCAAACTTTGAAAATTTTGTATGATAAAACATTCTTCAAATACGTCGTCATCAATGACGTCATTAGTCGTCATGGACAACGCCATTGTAATCCGGGAACTTGAAAGTAGTTCTAATGGCGGACTTGGCCATACAGCCGAGATTAGATGTAGGGTACTGGAATCTGTTGAGGTTTGCCGAGTGGCTTACACCAGTGATCGAAAACCACGTGACCGACCAGCTAGAGGTGACGGACCGGCTAGAGCTAGGCCGTCCCGATCAACCAGTCTCTCATGATGATGGTGGACGTCTTAATCTGGTTGAATCCAAGCAAGGAGATTAACCACCACTAATAATGTGAAATGAATTGAAATGAAATGGGGTTTAACGTCCTACTGTTCTGCTCCGAACAGGGCTAATGAAGACGGCCGTACCCCCATACAGTGAGCTATGAGGGAAATTTTGCCCGGACAGCGGCACTACGGCCTAGCCTACTGTTATATCGAATTCCAACTGTCAAGGGATCTTTTACGTGCACGCCAATGTGTACACGGGACCTTGAGTTTTCGTCCCATCCGAACGACTAGACAGCTGTCCTTTCTTAATTATAGTAAAATTAATCAATAAACAGCGAAAAATTAGATATCATTGATTATCGTTTATTTTTCAGCTATCAAAATGATGAAAGTTATTCTTGCCGTTGCCTGTTTGGTTGCTGTAGCATCAGCTGGTATTGTTCCAGCACCATTCCTCGGTGGTATTCCACCAATGGGTATGCTTCCTCCATTCGGTGGCATCCCTCCCTTCGGACTAGGTCCTTTCGGTATGGGACCATTCGGTATGGGACCATTTGGTGGATTTGGATTAGGAGGATTCAACAGATTTGGTATGATGGGTGGACTTGGATTTGGTGGTCTTGGTGGATTTGGTTTGGGCGCTGGAAGTAAGTTATTTTAAATCAACTTTCATTAATAGAATGTTATTTTTACAATTAAGCCATTTTGATTTTTATTTTTACATTATACATCATATTCCTGAAGCAATCCCTCTGTAGCTGGTTAATCATAGACTTTACAGTAAAATACACAACACTCGCATATCTGGCAAAAGTTTGTTTTGACGATTAGCGTTACCATTTTCAAACCTAATCTGTGCATCAATGGAAAGCTAACAAATAACCATATTAATTCAGAATTGGCAAAATCCTGCTTTAAGTCCAGTCATATCACTTGAACAGTTATCCCCCCCCCCCCTGCATTTTTATCCCTTATCCCGTTTGTATTTCAACTGGGTATTGGACATGGTACCGATACTGATTGTAATACCCATATTAATTGGGAATTTTTTCAAAATTGGCAAAATCTTGTATTAAGTCCATCCATAGCACCTGAACAGTTATCCCTTCCACACCCCCCACACCCCACACACACCCTCACACACACACTTTTATCCCATATCCCAATTTCATTTCAAATGTGTATTGGACATGGTACTGATACTGATTTTAAATTATTTTTTTTCATTTTATTTTTTCAGTGTGGTTTTAAAGTCAAGGAAATATTTATATTAAAATCCCGGTGCACAGATTTTTCCCAAAATTTATTTTTATAAATAAATTTTTTCGTTTAACAATTTATGTTTATGTTTCTTGTGTGGGTTTGGGGTGTTACAGAATCTGACAGAGCAGTTCTCACGTGGCAAATAGTACTTAGCTTTTAGAAAAAATATGGGGTTTAACGTCCTACCATTCTGTATCGACTGGGCTAATGAAGACCGACATAGCCATACAGTGTCCTATGATCGGCATTCTGCCCGGACTGTGGCGCTACGGTCTACTCTTATTTCGAATTCCAACTGCCAAGGGTTCTTTTACATGTAAACCAATGTTTTTTCGTCCCATCCGAAAGACTATACGTTGTCCCATGCCAGGCCCTCCGCCCTGCACCCCTGACAAGGGGGAACCACGAATGAAAATCCCGGAGAACTTCTCGGTCCAGGTCAGCGAGCCAACATCGTACTCACTGAACCACCGTGGTGTACGTGACTTTTAGAAGCTAAAACTGATGTTCGGTGTTAGATACAGGAATTAGTGTTGCATATAAAAGAATGAGTTGCCACCATGGTAAATTATCTCTTCTGTAGAATTAGTCTTTTGATCATACTTGACTACCATTCTGAACATCTGAGACACGCTACCTGCGGAGAAGTATCTCAGACACAGTCTGTAGCCATGATATCCATATCACGTGACAGATCATGACATTGGCGTCAATGGGTCAAGAGGTCAACATTGTAAACAATAGGTTTATCTTCAGCATTGTGTCCGTTGCACCCATAAAGACTATATAATTCGTACAGTCCCAACATCTTCTCTCTTCTTCCAATGATTTTTCACAAAAATAACATCTACAACTCATAGAATTGACGTTGTCTTCAATGACAGCGTCTGCGAGGGTTGTTCATAGAGGCCGCCATATTGCACTATTTTGTGCGTCGGTCGGGTCTATTTCAGATATACACAATCAATTCTGTTGATGTTTTTAACGTTGGGATTGACTAATAGTTAATGTGTTTCAGTTCTAAAACAAATATTTTAAACTTTAACGCAAATTTAGAAAATAGCCAAATTCTGGCTGGGATTACTGAGCAAAATGGCCATTAACTGTATACGTGCGAAAAAAAAGCTAGCCACCAATTAATTTTCGTACGTTAGTTACGTACGACTTGACTACCTGTACTGCAAGGTGGACATTAAATACTCGGCATTCCGCCCCACAAAAAAAGACCAAAGTCCAATCCACGCACCCACCCGCATGATGACCATAGTGGAGAAACCTGTTTGGCTTTCGGGGGAAAATCGACCTGGTGTAGCTAGACAGATTCATAACCTCCTGATATCCTGCTTTAAGTCGTTTATGAACCAGGGTTTTACGTCTCATCCGAGAGACAAGGCACACGACACATCTCGCAGTTGAGAACAAGGTTTGATAACCGAGTCACGACAAAGATGGGATCGCGCAAGGTAGATAACTCTATTTTATTGATTAGGGAAAAGACCACCAAAATGCTTTTAATGAATGAATAAAAGAAATGGGATTCAACATCCTACTTTTCTGCTCCCACAGGTCTAATGATGAAGAGCATACGCCATACAGTTTTCTACATGGGAAATTTTATTTTGCTAATAGAATTCCAACTGTCAAATGTTCTTTTACGTGCAAGCCAAAGTGAGAGAGAGAGAGAGAGAGAGAAATGGGGTTGAACGTCCACTCGACACAAACTAGGTCATTTTGGGACTAACATATGGTTTAATTTTATTTCAATAATTCGCTTGCGCGTAGGGGTCTTTAGCAGTGGGAGGAAACCGGAGGACCCGGAGAAAACCCACAAGGTTGGACAGGCGGCCCTACTCCTCGTCACATGCAACCAGGGAATCGAAACCTGGCCAGTTGACTCAATGACAGACCGTATGATACAGTAATGAAATGAAATGAAATGGGGTTTAACGTCCTACTGTTCTGCTCCTAACCTGGGCTAATGAAGACGGGCATACGCCATACAGTGTGCTATGAAGGAAATTTTGCCCGGACAGCGGCACTACGGCCTACTCTTATATCGAATTCCAACTGCCAAGGGATCCACCATTGCTAATGAAAAGGGATGTTTTATTCTACCAATTTGTTGACCAACCCCACCCTCCCAATAAATAGAGAGAGAGAAATAGGGTTTAACGTCCACTCGACAGGCAACCCTACTCCTTGTCACGTACAACCGGGAAATTGAAACCAGGCCAGTTGACTCAATGATAGATCTTATGATACAGCACACACGTGCTAACCATTCAGCCACCCAACCCTACCCTCCCAATATGAATAAATAAAGAAAACAAGCGTTTAATTCTACCAAATTTATTCACCAGTCACATGTTGGCAGATGAGATCGTTACACAGTCAGATGTTGACAAACTGATGTAGTGAAATTCATTATATTTCTAACCATATCATTCCCAAGCAAGAAATCAAAGAGACAATCCATCTATAAACAAAAACTTACATCTGTTTAAAACTACAGAATAATAATGTTTGATGATGGATCTCTTTAACTGACTTGCCCTGAATAATACTTACATATGATTTATTTAAATCATGATGGTAAAAATTTTCAATTATCATTCTTGAAATATGGTAACAATTTATACCACTCTAACCTGTTATCTCCATCATTTAGGATGTTGTAACTTGTTTTTTTTTTTCAAATATGCTCACAATATACTTATATCAATGTGTACAGATAAGTGTATTTAATATTATTAACCAGCTGGTTGCCAGGCAAGATACGCCCACATTTTGCAAGAGATGGATAGAGAACAATCAGGGCCATATCCAGCAAGTTATGGTCTGAAATGCACAAATATCGAAAGGGACGGACATCTTTGGGATATAAAGATATATTTTAAGTTTCATCAAAATCGGATAAAAATTGTGACCTCTAGAGGGTCCACGAGCTAAAACCGTGATTTTCGTATGATCAGGGGCCATAATCCATGAAGTTATGGTCCGATACATGCCAATATCGAAAGGAACCGAGATCTTTGGGAGATAGACCTATATTTGAAGTTACGCCAAAATGGGATAAAAATTGTGACCTGAAGAGTGACAAGCAAATTGTGGACGAATGGACAGGGGAGACGGCATAATATGTCCACATGGAAATGTGGGCGTATAAAAATACAAAATTACCCTTAAAATCTGTTGCTAGGAGATATATATAGCTGTCACCGTGTTGTTATATATCATGACATATTAGATAATATTAAAGTCATTGCTCTCATCAGGTATAAGATTGATGGAAACCATGGCAACTCTAACATGAACAGACTTTATAAAGCCATAATCTAACTTACAACAGTAGATTAAAAGTTATCGGGGCCCGGTTTCTCGAAATCTTAACTAAAGATAAAATCCAAATTTTAGTACATACTTCAATTTTGATTGGATAAGCATTAAAATCAATCTAATATTATCCAATCAAATTAGTAAAATTTGGATTTCATCTTAGTTAAATTTCGTGAAACAGGCCCCTGAACTTTAGATAATTCTTAGGGTTATTCCTTTTTACATAAGGCCTACACATACAGAAATTAAGAACATCTTATGTTTATGTGGAACCAACGAAAATTAAAATATTCTAAACATCGACAAATTCTATAATAATCAAAATTGAAAGTAGCCTACCTAATGGAAGCTGAAAACTTATAACAAAAAAAGCATAATTAATTCAACTTAACCTGAAGTTGCATTGAGGCCACAACAACTTGATTTTGTGTTCTTCGTGGCCTAGATAAATAAATAAATAACGACTTGAATAACATGAAAAATGTTTTATTAAAAATTTCAAAATTTGCAACTAAAAGCTTTTGAACAACACAACCAAATACTTTTGGTTTTTAAATAATTTATTTTTTCTCCCAAAGAAATAAGGAAAATATTTTGAAAGATATTCCTGAAGAACAGAAAATGAAAGTGATGTGGCCTAATCATATAAAATTGCAGGCTCCCAAGACGCTTCAAAATCAAAGAAATGTCACTAACAGTGATTACTTTTATAATACAGAACCAATATAATCAATTGAAAATACGATCTAATTCAGTGATTCTCAAATAGTGTGCCGCGACATCTTCCTATGTGTGCAGCGAAATTTTGAACTATAAAAAACGAAAGAGGATCTGTGTTTTAATCAGATTAGAGGACTTAATACTTAAGAATGGCAACATTCAACAAAGATCATACTCCAGCAAGTTATCTTACATAGTCATAGCAACTTTAAAATCAAACAAAATTAACCAATTAAATTGTTTAATTCGTTGTATATTTCTGTATGTTTCATGCAGGGAGAAGATAAAAAATAAAACAAATTTTATATGCAATAAAGCTTGTCGTCATTCATAACTCTCAAAATAAGTTGAATATTGAATAATTAAAAGTCAAATTTCTAACTTTTGCAGAGAAAAGTACACAATTTGTCGTCACTCTGTCAGAATATGATGTGCATTTTTATTTAATTAAAATATTCATAAATGTTGAATCGAATTTCTAATCTTTGCAGAGAAAATTACACAAATTGTCGCCACTCATAACTGTCAGAATATAATGTGCATTTAAATTTAATTTAATATATTCATAAATGTAATTTGAAATTCTAATCTTCGGAGTGAAAAAATGGAAAATTTCTTCAAAATATGGAATAATGAATTAAAACACTTATGGATATACTACTTCTGAATTTTATTAACATGCTACGTTTCAATACACATACAGGTATCGTTATCACGCAGCATGTCTTGATAACAATACCTGTACGTGTATTGAAACGTAGCATGTTAATACAATTTGCTTGATAACGATACCTGTACATATAATACGTGTATTGAAACGTAGCATGTTAATAAAATTCAGAAGTAGTATATCCATAGAAGTGTTTTAATTTTAATGATATCTATTTCTATATGTGTTATATAAGGATTAAAGAATAACGAATGTTTATAAGTGAGATAGATAACGTAGTTGAAGTGTTGGTATAAACTACAAGAACCACCCTCATGCATAGTTTTAAATACAAATATAGGCGATCGATCTATCGATCGTGATGGTTAACATAAACTTGGTTAAACATGTATCAATCAACATTCAAAAATAAAAAGAACCACTCATAACCATACATCTTATATAAATATGATATAGATAAATTAACAGTTACTCTTAGTATATTAACATTAACAGGTACTTGTTATACGGTGGACACACTAGCGGAATCGTTCAGCTGAATCAATCGGCGTCAAAATTCACCTAGTGTGTCCACTGTCATTCAGCCAAATGATTCACCCGAATCAAACAGCGAGAGAGAGAGAAATGGGGTTTAACGTCCACTCGACACAAACTAAGTTATTTCGGAACTACCGAATCAACCATGTTTGATATATTCGACCGAATTATGTTCGCCTAGTGTGTCCGCTTCGCCGAAGCATTCACCCGAATGTAGAATTCATTAGCCAATCACAACTCATCATCCACACATATCAAGAAGTCACGATTGTTTGAGGACATGGTGACATGAAAGGTGATGCAATCGACTGGTGAATCAGGCGAAGCATTCGCCTGGCGTGTTCACCTATTCGGCCGAATAAAATTCAGCGCGGACTGATTCGGCTAATGTGTCCACCGCTTTAGTATATAACCATGCATATAACATGGGCCTATAACATTTATCTCGATATGATCGGGATTATTTTTTTCTGATTTGTCCTTTTTCTAAAATATTTTATACATCATACATTACCAGGCCCCAAGTTCACAAAACATTCTCAGATTTAAGTTAACAATTTACTCAAAACTGTTCGCCTTATTTTAACTACAATATAGCCCTTTATAAAACTTTTGTTGTTTTAATGTATCAAATACATCAATAAGAAACTATGTGCAAAGTTTTGTGTTTCTGGATCAAAAATATTTCTCATGAACAGTGATTGAAAGTTAAGTAAATTCTTAACTTATATCTGAGAATGATTTGTGAACTTGAGGTCAGTAGTTCCTTGGGACAGTTTTTCTGAATATAATTTGGATTATTTTTCTGATTTAACCCTATTTTAAAATATTTTGTACATCATGATCACACAATTATCGGTAGACTACATCAGTTTCCGTTCTAGTTCCTTGGGATTAATTACAAAAGTTTCGCTTCCAATTTCTTGAAAAAATAATTTTTTGTAACAAACAGAAAAAATTCTCACTCTTAACAGAATTTTGGCATTAAATTTTATTAAAGTTCTGAAATACCACTGACTAGTTTGGCCTTAGCAGGTCTTCAAATTGTCTGAATAAATAATGTACACTATATTTTAGAGGAATTGTGTATTTTATACAATTTGATTAAAATACAGATCTATTTCGTTTCGTTTTATACTTTCGATGGCCTCTACTACACGAAGATCTGACTGGTTGTAGTGGAAGGTCGCATCAGAGATTATACAACTGGCTTTTGACCCTATGCCATCAGATATTTGATTAACCAATCAGCATTGATGTTCCTAGTAAGATACCCAGTTTCTTACGCGGCATGTGAAGAACTCGCTATGATAGATCGTTTCATTGGCTAACCCCTCACATCAACCAGAACGCAGGTTATATAACAACTCTTTCAGATTCTAGTGTAGTAAAGACAAGTAAAACGAAATTCTGAACTATAAAAAGAACGAAACGAAATAGGATATATGTTTTAATCAGATTACCTGTTATAGGTTTGATAACAACTTGTGAAATCTTGTTGAAACCCCATAGTGTAATAACCCATTCTAGTTATTCATAAAAAGTGTTTTAATTGAAGGAATTGTATAAGTTCCGTACTACTAATTAAGACATTAATCAAGGCAAAGATCTGATATACAATAGTTTGTTACGTAAGTGGTGCGAGATTTCCTCCTAGTTTCAAATATACACAGATTAACAAAATAAATCACACATTTACACCTATACCACTTACACACTGGATAATCCTACATTACTCAGTTACATTGGTTTTGTTTATATATATTAAATACTGGATAATCATTCACAAATATCTATCTTTATCCATGATACATTATCCAGTTACATTTTTTTATTTTTATATAGTCTATATACTGGATAATCATTCACAGATATCCATGATACAGATTAACCAGTAACATTTCATGTTTTGTTTGTTTTTTTGTTTTTTACTTTAAATACTGGATAACAATCTTATCCATTATCCAGTCTTTATTTTTAAACTTAAATACTGAATAACCATTCACATAAATATCCATATTTAATTCTATTTTCTTCAGGAGGGATGTTGAGACATCAAATATATTAAAACAGAAGGGTCTTATGTCTCAACCTCCTTTCCTTTAGTGCTATCCAGCAAAATTACTAGCAACATAAGAGTATATAATTGAAGAGAGAGAGAGAGAGAGAGAGAGAGAGAGAGAGGAAAGATGGGGTTTAACATCCACACGACACAAACTAGGTCATTTCGGGACTAACATATGGTTCAATTTTATTTCAATAATTCAATTGCACGTAGGGGTCTTTAGCAGAGGGAGGAAACCGAAGACCCGGAGAAAACCCAAGAGGTTGGACAAGCGACCCTACTCCTTGTCACGTACAACCGGGGAATCGAAACCACACCAGTCGACTCAATGACAGACCTTATGATACAGCGCGCATGTGCTAACCATTTGGCCATCCACCAATGTACGGACTCGTGTGCATGTAAAAGAATGTGGAAACGTAACTTGCACACACAACCAGAGAAATAAAAACAAAATAACATGTTTGTCAGAAAATGACCGAATTACTGTGTTGATGAACATTAAACCGTACTCCATTCTATTTAAGCAGCCACTGAAAGCTGTAAAAGAGATTAATTTGTATGCATACCTGGAAATAAGACACCTCGTGTCACAGACAATGTCAGACACAGATCAAGGCTTCGTCAAAAACAAAACATCTCCCGTGTCTGTCATTTTGTCGGGACACTTTTTTTATATTTTTATTGATATTATTAATACACGTCCAAAAAGTTATAAAATGTCAGATATTAATTCATTAGTGGTGGACATTTAGACAGGTACAACTAGATCCGTTATTTCCAGGCATGTTTGTATATGACTAGTAACAAGGCGGATAGCTTAATTATAATTACCAGTAAAAGAAGGCCTTTAAGGCCCGTATTCCATGTATGCGTTTATGCAGCTTTCCCACAAGTGTTTTCATCAGCGAAAAAGTCGGTCTAATGTAAATTTAATGGGACCATTTCCATGGAATCATCAAAACCTCGCACAGGGAAAACAGGTTTAAAGTAGTGTCAAGGTCAATCTAATTAAAATACAGATCTATATTTCGTTTCATTTTTTTATACTTTCGATGGCCTACACTACATGAAGATCTGACAAGTCATAGCGATAGGTCATGTCAGAGGTCATACGAGCGGCTTTTGACCCTATGATGTCAGACATTTGATTAACCATTCAGCATTGATGTTATCAATGGATTACCCACAGTTCCGTGAAAAACACGCCTAAAGCTCGCCGTACCAGACCGTTTCATTGCTTATCCCTGACACCATTCAGAACACGAGCTGAATAACAACTCTTCCAGATCCAAGTGTAGTAAAGACAAGTAGAATGAAATTTTGAACTATAAAAACGAATCGAAATAGGATCTGTGTTTTAACCAGATTGTGTTAAGGTAAATCTACTAATAGGTGACTATATTTCAACCAAAACCATAATAGGGGACCATGTTAACATAAATAACACCACAGATAAACTAATTCGTACCTAAAACATATATATCATTGCAAGTTATATCAGTTACAAGTCACACTCATATACAATATACTTAATAATATACAGGTAGCATATACACTCGTTTGAGGTATTCATAATTTCAGATACTAAAGATAGGTTGCCAGGCAAAGATCCCCCCACTCCCCCATATATGGCCATATTTCAATAAAGGTGCCTAAAAAGAATTTGGAATACTAAAATAAATGTCGAGATACAAAAAAGAAACATTTTGAATGTGTCTATATAATAGATAGCAGACTTTGTCAAGTACACCATTTACCGACTAACATATGGTTCAATTTTATTTCAATAATTCGCTTGCACGTAGGGGTCTTTAGCAGTGGGAAGACCCAGAGAAAACCCACATAGTTGGACAGGCGACCTTACTACTTGTCATATACAATCAGAGAATTGAAACCACGCCAATTGACGCAATGACAGATCTTATACAACGCGCACACGTTAAACAATCAGCCATCTAACCCTCCATTTTAAATAAATGTTTTTGTTTGCAGCATTTGATGCTTGTATTTTGACTCGTTATCCAGTGCCACCAATGAAGCCAAGTATTAGCTCAACATTGATTCCAAACTTATTAATATTAATTTCAATTAACTTATCAATTATTGTGTAATTTCTATGGTTAATTAAAATCTTTACAGTTTCCACCTTCACCAACAAAATTTACTTAATGAAATAGATAAACATACTTGTGTATAAAGCTGAAATAAAACTGATCAACTCAAGCCTGGAAATAAGGCACCTGTCACTGACAATGTCAGGCTTTGTTAGGCACTAAACCTCTGGTGCCTGTCATTTTGTCCGGCACTGATTTGACTGACTTTTCTTTTTTATTGATATTATTAATACATGTCCAGCACTAAGTTGAAAATGTCAGGTACCATTTCATTAGGGCCTGACATTTTGTCAGGTACATGTAAAACCGATATTTCCAGGCCTGGTAATCATTATAAGTAATTTCTTTTTTAAAAGACTATTTCTTATTTAAAATTAAATTCTAAGTGCCTCTCAAATATTTGATACTTGTCGACATATCATCCACCATTCCATTACGTACTCGTAGATCTATTTCATAAGGCCAACTTCAAGTTTGATCAAAGGTCACGAGATGTAAACAGGGCTAGCGCTAACTCCAACCCTAACGCTAACCCTGGATCTAGCTCTAACACTTACCCTATAACCCTAATCCACAGTTTCGCCAACAATCACGTGCCATAACCTTATTTACATCTCAGTGACCTTGAAGAAAATTGAGTTGGCCTTAACAAATAGATCTAGCTGTAAATAAAGAATGAAATATTGCATCACTCATAGATACTGACTGGGTTAATAATAACAGGGTCTTACTTTAAACATATATTTGCCCGTAAACATCAGAATCCAATCTAATTAAAAATACGGATCAATATTTCGTTTCGTTTTATACTTTCGATGGCCTCTACTGCATGAAAATCTGCCCGGTTAAAGGTCGCGTCAGAGGTCATACAAACGTTTTTTGACCATGTGAAGTCAGACATTGATTAATCCATCTGTGTTGACGTTTCTAGTGGTTTTACCAACAGTTCCGTGCATCGCACGCCAAGAAATCGCCGTAACAGATTGTTTCATTGGCTAATCCCTCACATCCTCCAAAACATAGGTTATAATATAACAACTTTTCCAGATTCTAGTGTAGTCAAGACAAGTAAAATGAAATTTTGAACTATAAAAAACGAAACGAAATAAGATCTGTGTTTTAATTAGATTGATGAGAATATATATATTAATATCACTAAAATCAAACAACTGTGGTATCATTATAGCATATTGGTCTACATTTTGTTTCCAACAAGAAGAGAAACACTAGGATAGGGTTGGGCGATATACCGTTCATTAGGTATATCCGCAATTTTATATCGGCGAAAATATTGAAAACCTGTATATCGTGATGAGATAATTATCATGTCCTAATATTGATGATACATGTAATACATATGCTATATCATCTCCTATGACATTCTATTGATAGAATTAAATTCATCGGTAAAAATAGCATTATAAAGCACCTGCTGGTCTGGGGTAAATCTTCATCACGGCTCCTACCGACGTTAGTAACAATAATTTGACATCAAGGGACGATTTTCAGCCCAAGTATTCAAAATTTGACTTCTTAAGACATGTGTATAAATTATCGCGATATTTGATAACTTAGCAACAATAATTTAACATCCAAAGGACGATTCTCAGCCCAAGTATTCAAAATTTGACTTCTTAAGACACGCATATATTTGGTAAAATTATTATCACAATATTTTTTTTTTTCATTATCGCCCAACCCTATAATAGGAGGCATTTATTAAACTAATTACTGCTAAACAATATAAAAAAAAAGCAGACAAAAACAACATCCAGCAATATTTTTAAACATATGCTTTTCTAAAAAGCTTAAAGTTTGCTTTTAGGGCATTTAAAAACAGATCAGCCTGTTATTATTGCCATAATTAAAAATTAAGATAATGTCCTTACGAGAGCTTTGAAGTCGACATGTTTATAATGTACAGTATTATTTTTTTTTTTTCAAATTGAAGATTTAAAATTTTCTTGTGAAAGCGCAACACATTTAATGCTATATGATAATATTATTAGCTTACACAGAAAGCTTTTATATAAAATAATCTTCAAATTTCTGAAAAATAACCATTCTGTCAGACATTTTAATTTCTCGCGTGTCTAACAAAAGACCAAATCAGTAAATTATTTACCGTTTAACACATTCATTTACACCACTAATAACATAACATACATACAAATAATTATAAATAAATTAAGGTGATAGAAAGAAAAAGCAAGGCAAATCTCAGTGGATATAATCACATATTACAATGTGTTTATGATCATGTATTACAATGTGGATATAATCACATATTACAATGTGTATATAATCACATATTACAATGTGTTTTTAATCACATATTACAATGTGTACAATGTGTTTTTTGTTGGTTTTTGTATACAATAATGACTACACAAAGTAGGAACACACCACGCTTATTTTGACCATTCCAAGAGGCATTAACCCTTTGGAGACACTGGTCGGTCAGTAAAATAATAATTTTCAATTGGCTGTACTTAGATAATACAGTAACAACTTGTTGTTCAAATCACACTGTGTGTAAAATTTGAGATAAATCTACCGATCCATCAGAAATAGATGTTTTTAGATTCATTAATAGTTGTTCACAATCCAAAAAATGTTTGCTCATGGGGTACCCGGTATTTGGATTTCACGATAACTGGGCGAGACTTTATATCTATTTTTCTTGTAGAAAAAAAAATGATAAAGTCTCTTTAATAATAACGGACTCTTGTGAAGGTAAGCTCTACTTTTACTTTGTGTGCTCAATTTAACAGTAATTGTGTTACTATTAATAGAAGTGGTGCATATGACTGTACATGTCTATAATTCCCTGATACGGTTACCGTACAGATTCTAATGCAGTTAGTGCAATCAACAACATACTCTATTTAAACTAGCCAATCATCTTTAAGACAACGATACTCCCGTGCATACAAAACCAGTGATCACATTTTTTTTTTTATCTTTTTATATCAAAGCAAAATTATTTTTAGAGTCAAGACGCAAAGCTATTTGAAGTAATGTTCGTCGTCACTGCACACACACACTCACACATCGTACAAAATTATGGCTTTTTAAACTTTTAACTTATTTACACCTGTGCATTTACATGTCGTAAGATCAAAGAAACTCTCATTTTAAAGAAATATTTTAATTCTAATTAATACTATTTGTTAATTATTAATTAATGATATCTAAAAATGAAATAAACTCTAACAAGCTTAAAAATATTTCCGTAATTTTAAACCTTTCTAAATAACAAGCATCACATAATAAGATCTATGTGACAGAATAATATAAAAATGTCTGACATTATTAAAAATTTCTTTTATCCATGTCAAACAAATTTTGCTTTTTGTTAATTAAATTTCTTTGGTTAAAAATAGTCTGCTCTAAGGTGTGAAGTGGGCTATAATAAACAAGAAGGCTTGAGAAAAATCTTTTGTTGTTTCACATGTCATAAATATATGTACATTTCAACTCAAACACAATAACTATATATTGTATAGGTATGTACAACTTATATATACATGTATATATATATATATATAAACATGCCTGGAAATATGACACACACATGTCACTGACATGTCAGACACAGATCAAGGTTTTGTCTGACACAAAACATCTCCTGTGTCTGTCATTTAATCGGACACTGATTTTATGTATTTATTGACATTGTTGAAGGGGCATTATGGGAGATTAGATAAAGAGCTGTCAGTTATTATTATAATAGTCATAAAACTAGATAATGTAGAGGGAATATGTTGAAAATTTCAGTCAAATTGCTCCACTCTGAACTGAGATATTAGCGATTGAATTTTAGGTCTAGCCTCGACCATCATTACTTAAGATGGCATCGGAGTTGATTAAGGTCTTTTCATGTTAATTAATGTCTAATTAATAATTTATATAACATTTCAGGCCTAAAGAAAGACCTGCAATAGACAGATTTAGCTCTTGCATAATGCCTGTTTAATACATGTCCGTCACAAAGTTATAAAATGTCAGATATTAATTAATTAATTCGTACCTGACATTTTATCAGGTACAACTAAATCCGTTATTTCCAGGCAGGTACATAAACAGGATTTTCAAAGTCCAGAGATCGCAAATTACATATTTTATCGGAGATTTTTTATTACATGTAACATAAAGTTGAGCTGACTCCCAATTCAGTATAGAATCCATCGACAATGAAAACCCTGGGTAATTTTTAAGCCCTAAATGTTCCTGAGTGTGAAAAGTAGTAACAGTCTGTTTTTTTTTTTTACTCTAAAATCTGAAATGTAAAACTTGAACCAACCACTTAGTAATAACATTATGTACAAGTTTCTCTGTAGATTTCGCCGAGAATGTTCATTATTTGATCTTGTTTTTTGTATTTTTTAAACTTTATGGATCTTGGTGCTTATTATTTTTCTCTTTCTTTCTCTTCCACGTTCTTGTTTTCTCATCTTATCATCATTTGTTTCCTGAAACTATTGGATAAAACAAATTAATCAGAAGGCAGAGACAGAGAAAGAGTTTACCGTCCCCAGTCCCCACTGACACAAACTAGGTCATTTCCAGACTAACATAAGGTTCAATTTTATTTCAATAGCTGCTTTGTGCGTACATGTAGAGGTCATTTCGGGACTAACACATGGGTTAATTTTATTTCATTAATTCGCTTGCGCGTAGGGGTCTTTAGCAGTGGGAGGAAACCAGAGGACCTGGAGAAAACCCACGAGGTTGGACAGGCGACCCTACTCCTTGTCACGTACAACCGGGGATTCGAAACTACGCCAGTTGACTCAATGACAGGTCGTATGATACAGCACGCACGTGCTAATAGCTGTGGAAGGAAACCAGAGTACACAGAGAAAACCTGTGATGTTGGACAGGCGACCCTACTCCTGGTCATGTAGAAGTAGGGAATCAAAACCACACTATCTGACTCAATGACAGACCTTGTGATCTTACGTGCAAGCATTAACCCATTCGGGCCCCCACACCATCAAAAGGCAGACTTTAATCCTTTGAGAGAGAGAGAGAGAGAGAGAGAGAGAGAGAGAGATGGGTTACTGTCCACTCCACACAAACTAGGTCATTTCAGGACTAACACATGGTTCAATTTTATTTCAATAATTTGCTTGTGCACGAAGGGCAGGGGTCTTTAGCAGTGGAGGAATCCAGAGCACCTGGAAAAAACCCACGAGGTTGGATTATTCCTTTGAGCATTTAGTAACTGGCTAGAAAGCAAAATTCATAATGTTGAGAGAATACTCTTCAAAACCATGCCAAAATAAATTAAATACTTGATATTACATAAGTATGTGTTATAGTTTATTGCGGACTTGAACATTTTACCCACAAAGTAAAGAAAATTAGGTTTAATAAAAATCATAAGAGTTTGAAAGACAAATTTTACAACCCAAAAATTAAAGATACATTATGTGAGATTAGATAAAGAGTTGACAGTTCTCACTATAATAGTTAAAAATAGATAACGTAAATAGAATGTAATAGTTAAAAACTAGAAAATGTAAAGGGAATTTGCTAAAAATTTCAGTCAAATTGCTCCACTCTGAACCGAAATATTAGTTTTTGAATATTAGACTAGCCTCAAGCATTATTACTAGCCAATGACCTATTATTCTCAAATAAAATATCGATAACAATTCCAATTATATTATTATAGAGACTAAGAGTCTTCCCTCCACAAAAACTAGGTCATTTCAGGACTAACATATGGGACATTTTTATTTCAATAATTCCACGTGGGACTTTATCTGCTGGAGGAAAGCAGAGGTGCCAGAGAAAGCTAACCATGCCACTTGACTCAATGACAGAAAAAAATGAAATGGGGTTTAAAGTCCTACTGTTCTGTTTCGACTAGGCTAATGAAGACTGGCTCAATGACAGACCTTATAGCCGGCATGTGTTAGGCTGCATGTAATAATACACGAAAAAAATAAACAGCAATATTAATTCATACTTTGCCTGATCCTTGACGACTAATTTTCAATTCAGGAAATTCCTCCTTCTTTAATTCGAACTGCATCTCGACGCTATCAACAGAATTTGTATCACTGTCGCTGAAAAATACAACCAATCATATCGATGAACGGTACTGCTCTGACACTCTGAGCAAACCTCTCCTCAAAACATAGACAGGAGCTTCTCAGCCTCCCTTAATTAATATACTAGCCAGCCATGCTACCTCTAAAATCATTGTCATCGAATCTTGCAGGGCAATCAAAGGGAGAGAAAGAGAAAGATGGGTTTCGTCCACTTACACAAACTAGGTCATTTCGGGACCAACATATGGTTTATTTCTATTTCAATAATTTGCTTGCGCGTAGGGGTCTTTAGCAGTGGGAGGAAACCAGAGGACCCAGAGAAAACCCATGAGGTTGGACAGGCAACTCTACTCCTTGTCACATACATGTACAACCAAGTTTTTGACGGCATCAAATGAATAAATGCTCTATTAACTTCATTTAGCATAGGATAATTATATATTAAGGTACTATAACTATCACGAGCCATTGCATGGGCACAAACTAACAGTTTCAGAATTCATAAATAAATTTGAACCAACCTTGCAATGTGATAACCATGTAGAAAGGGACACAACGGACCTTTAAAGCACATTCCATCCTCCCAAAATCTACAAGTAATTGTAGAAATATCGTGGGAAAATTTACAATCTGATCTCTTACAAGATCCTTCCAAAAAGAAACTACATGGTTTTCTGCTCACTCCTATAATATAAAACATGCATCGGATTTAATACAAGCCTTAATCCTAGAAAATAAAAAAACCATTGTATTTACTTGACAGTAATTAGTTAGGCCATACAAAAACAAGCTGACAGTTCGGCCATTTCCCTACCCTCAATCCTAAAAAAAATTAGATCATATTGATAGTTATCTTTTTACAATCCATCAATTCAACTGCTTATACATGTAACTGTTTTACCCACCAGAGCAGAAAATGTTTATTATCTAACTTAGTAAAGGTGCATATGTATTAATGTGTATCAACTAACTTAGTAAAGGTGCATATGTATTGATGTTTATCATCTAACTTAGTAAAGGTAAATATGTATTAATGTGTATCATCTAACATAGTAAAGGTACATATGTATTGATGTGTATCATCTAACTTAGTAAAGGTGCATATGTATTGATGTGTATCATCTAACTTAGTAAAGGTGCATATGTATTGATGTGTATCATCTAACTTAGTAAAGGTGCATATGTATTGATGTTTATTATCTAACTTAGTAAAGGTACACATGTATTGATGTTTATTATCTAACTTTGTAATGGTACACATGTATTGATGTTTATGTAATGAACCTATACATATAAAACAACCATGTGGTTTCTAGCGAGCATCAGCATGTTTGTGGTCTTCAATAATAATTGGTTATGGACACACAAGAACTGTTCAAAAGATGAGACGGTAAAAAGAGAAACTCACCTTTGGTTTTGATTTTATTGGTTTTCTTTCTAGCATCTGGAATACTAAGATACGGAGGCCATTCCGATTTAGGTAACGACTTAGGATCAAGCCACTGTTTTTCTAAATCCGATGAATACACTGCTAAATCAGGTAACATAGGCACCAGGCCAGGTCCTCCAATATCCTGTTGTTCTAACTCACAAGAATATACAGCGGTTTCAGGAATTGGTATAGGAGGTAGCAGATTAACATCAAAACCATGAGTATGCTGAAAAACAAATTTTAAAATTAAAAGCTTTGAGATATTTTTCAATTTGATAACCGCAATCAGTTGAGATTAAGTTTCCAGTCATGATTGTTACTCAAGAACTTGAATCTGTGCCTTATTCTTAAAAGTTTTTAATATGACTTGAAGTAAAGTAACCTTTTTCCGGATATTTTTTCAATTTGAGAGAGAGTTTAACCTCCACTTGACACAAACTAGGTAATTTCGGGACTAACATATTATTTCAATAATTTGCTTGTGCGTAGGGATCTTTAGCAGTGGGAGGAAACCGGAGTAGGAGACCCTACTCCTTGTCACGTACAACCGGGAAATCTAAAAAAAGCCAGTTGACTCAATGACAGACTTTATGATACAACGCCCACCTGATAACCATTCGACCATACAACACCCTCCGCCAAAAAAAAGTAAGGGATTTAATATACATGTAGGCTATGCCTGTTCCCCAATCCCTATTCAGATACAAATCAGATACTCACCAATAACTCATGTGTAGTAGCAGGACATTTAATATGTTTATTATCCTCAGATAAACTTCCCAGATAATACTGACTCAATTCATCCACACTATTCGGCATATTATCAAGAGGATAAACTGTATCCTCAAAACATTTTGTTTTATAATCTGGACCCACGTATCGGTCCATAACATTAATAGTTTTTCCACTTATTTCTTCATTCCACACGTAAGCAACATCTTCCATTTCAAAACCTGGTTTTCGCAACGCGGCATTATTTTCACGAACAGTTTCAGAACTCTCGCTTGGCATTGGCTCTTGTTTCTCAAGTCGACTTTCAAGTAGTGAAGGCCATTCCTCGTACGTTTTATCAGGTAAGGTGGGTTTCAATTCTGTCTCCTCGTTGGACGGTTCGATAGAATTTTGGCTAAATGAGAGCTCTCCATGCTTGACTAAGGGCAAGTACTGGAGATATTGCGTGCAATGGCCGTATTTTCCACCTTCAGCATCTTCACAATCGTAACCAGAACTCCAGGCATTAGAATATTCAACTGTTTCTCCGTCCGTTTTCTTTTCTTTCCACATGTCTGACAGAGCAGATGGTAGATAATGATCCGAGTTATCCAAATATAGATGATTAAATCTGGCCGCTAGGGTTGGTCCAGCAGTCCAGTCGCATTCATCAAGATCACGATCTACTTCCTTTTCATTCGGCAATATGACCGATTCCTCGATCTCACCATTCGATTCAAATCCACTTTCTTTACCACAAGGATCCTCTCCTTCGCCAGTTACATCAAAAATATCTCCAATTTTCCCCTTTCCCAATTCCTCGAGGGTTGTAAAACTCGGACAAGTAGTAATTTCGGATTTAAACTTGGGATCGTAATCGTCATCTAAACTGCGACCAGTTTGAATGTACTTGTCCAGATCTTTTTGTACCTTGAATTTGGGACGAAACATCGGTAATTTTTCTTCTATCGACCCCGGCTGATGGAACTGTTGATACAGGGTCCCGGATGAGAAGCCCAACTCTCCAAACAAATCGGCTCTCTCTTCTAATTTCTCTTCGTGAGGAGTGCCAACAGGGGTTTGGATGGGCCGAAAATGGGTTCTATTGGAGAAGTATAAATGCTCTGCAGGAGAATCATGCCTTGCTGAAGCCTGTTCAACACTTGGTAATTTGGGATTGTCATAATCGGATGGCGGCAAAGAATATAACGATGATAATTTCAAGTTCGGCGCACTTCGAACATGAGGCATTTTACTTGGTATGACATCAGTAAAAGCAGATGTCTCGGAGGGAATCAACTCAAAACTTCGATGGAATTCTTGTTTTGATGCATCACGTCTACTACTCCATGATGCGTGGATATCGCTGTCGGAAACACTGCGTTCATGTTTATCCCAAGAGCCTACGCGTAAAAAATTATAACGCACATCCTCTTTGGACGTTTCTTTATGCAGTTCCTCCAATAATTCTACACCAATCATGGCATCTTCATCAATGGTGCCTTGAGAGAGAAATATTTCTGATTCATCAATTTCCCATTCAACAGGTTCCATAGTTTGTCCCCAGTCAGATTTCACATGATCATCATTTTCGGGACAATCCGAAAGACTCGTCCAAATACTAACATTATAAGGCATGCTCCAAAAGGCTCCAAACCAAGGAAGTTTCCTTTGAGAATTAACATCCCATAACTGTGATAGCTGACCCGACTTGGTTTTTTCTCGCAACTTTTCGCATTCGTCTTTAGGGGTCAGGTTCCACCCGAGAGTCCTGTCTCCCAGTACAGAATCCCAAGGCACAGAAGTAATACGACAGTCGTCATCAAAGGTTTGTAGGAATTCATGGAGGAGGACTTTACTTTGCCAACAGCTCTCGGTATTCCCTTCATCAATGGACCAGATGTTGAAACACATGGGAGAAAGGTTTGTATAAGGGCTTTGCATGTCCATTTGATTTTGCAAGTCCATCTGCATGATCTCTGTCAGATATTCTCTGTCGATCAACATGGAGCATACACTATTTTTGGGACTTTCAATGACAGAATTAAAAGACTCCAGAAGTTCTTCCGTAAAGAATGCGCTCTCTGGAACCTCCATATCAGAAGCTGCTTCTACCAGATCTTCATTTAAGTTTAGACGAGACATTTCTTGTGTTGGTGGTTGGTGAAAATGTTTCACAGGAGTAGAAACGTAATCCTCGTCACTTTCCAAATCAAACGTAAAGATGCCTTCGAAGTCAGACATGTCAGTACCGTCATCACTGTCAAAAGTTTGAGTGCTGCAGCTTGATATTTCATACAGATCTGCGAGAGAGGTTGTTTCCAGCGCCACTCCCTCCCCATCGGGTCCTTTATGCCAAACACTGTAGAGCTCAGAGCTGGAGATCTGCTCATTCCTAAGTCCAGTTTCAGTTGCTCCTTGCCACAATTCCTGAACATGCCGCTCGTCGTGTTTTTCTGCAAGTGGTTCTTGGAGATTGGGCGCCAAGTTTTCTTTGTTGTCAACATATTCAAACAGAGAAAACTGACCACTCGTTGGACTTGTATAAGGTAATGTGTATCCAATTGGATTAACTTTTAGCTTGTCATCTTGCTCGTCTGCAAGATCATTTTTCATTTGGGGGAAAACGTTTTCTTTGAGGACTCCAGAGTTAACAGGTAATTGCTTTTCGAGAACAATATCTTCTGTGACCTTAACATCTGATTCAACAACTGGCGGAGAAAAGACGTCGTCCACAAATTGGTAGCGTGATGTAACAGAGGACAGAAGAGGGCCTAGAATACTTTCTAAATCGGTCTCCTCATCAAAAAACAGAGTCGGAGGATAACTGTATCTCTTGTAAAGCCTTTTACTTTTCGAGAACGGCGTGACCAATATCTCATTGAGAGGTTGTGTGTACCATTCATAGTTCTCTTGTAATTCAGGACTAACCGATTCTGCTCTCATCCATTCTGGCCATTCAGTTTCCAACGAAGTGCCGCTAGTCTTTCTAGGTTGATCAGATATTCCCGACAACAGTAACGTTTTAATAATCTGCTCCACTTTACTACAATATTCTGCTTCAGCTGCTTTATCTCGTTGGTCATCTTGACGAATTTCACCAGATTCCACGGCTTTCTCAGCTGTCAGCGGCCAGCTCAGAACGTGAACAGAAGTGTTGCTATGTTTTTCTATGACCTTTTGCATTTTCGTTTGCGGTCCTTTAGGCTTATTTCCTTTCGGATAAACCTTCTTCTTGCCATCCAGTTTTTGTGTTTTACGATCATTTTCTTTTCTATCTGTCATGCTTTTCGAACGTCTTTTTGGATGGTTTCTTTCTGGACGTTGTTTAGTTTCAGATCGTGTGGACAGCGTACTGTTTTTAGGTTTGCCATCTTCAGAAGATACTTTATCTTTGCTCTCAGAAGTTTCCCCAGCCGACTGTCCTGTCAAAGGATTACGTTTCCATATGTTAGGTTCACAGACAGACGGTGAAATAGAAGCCGGCGAATCGTCTCCGGAAAGAGCTGGAAACGCAGCATAGTACCTGAAAAAATATTTTATAAAATCAGATTAAAATTAAAGATGCATTATGCAAGAGCTATATCTGCCCATTACAGGTCTTTTATTTTGGCAATATATCTAATCCAATTTAAAATCTTTTTAATTACTATAGCTTCAATCTAAACATAAACAATGGAGCCACAGTTGCTAAGACGCTGGCTCGCTAGCCCGGAAGTCACAAGTTCGATCCCTGCATTGGCCGAGAGTGTTCATCAGGATTTTTCGACGTAGTTTCCTCTTGTCAGTGGTGCAGGGTGGAGGGTCTGACAAGGACAGCTGTCTAGTCATTCGGATGGGATGAAAAACCAAGGTCCTGTGTACACATTCGCGTGCAAGTGAAAGATCCCTTGGCAGTTGGAATTCGTTTTAAAATAAGAGTAGTCCATAGTGCCGCAGCCCAGGCAAAATTTCCCTCATAGAAAACTGTATGGTGTATGCCGGTCTTCATTATTCCAGAGATGGCAAATCAGTAGGATGTTAAACTAACTAACTAACTAACTCCCTCCCTCTCTCCCGCTCTCTCTCTCAATCTGAAGATAAACAAACCTTTGTGCTGGATCTTGTGTGCAAGTGACAGAGTTTTTATTTTCTCTCTTTTCATCAACTGTATTAACATTAATAGACAAGGGAGTAAAACACTCTGAAACAAAAACACATACATTATTAAACATGCATTATATTATTAAACATACATTATGCAAGAATTAAATCTCCCTATTGCAGATCTTTATTTTGGCCTGAAATGTTATCTAAATTATTAATTAGGCATTTGTGTCCCTCACCCAATAACCGAAAAACATTGTAACTAAAATATATATTATATAAGAATATACATAAGAATCACAATAATCATATAACGATACACATACATGTAATGAGAATCACAATAATTATATAAAAATACACTTCTCCCAATAATTATATTCCCTGCCCCCCACAATACTCATGTTGGGCTAAATTAGAGCCCCCAGTTCTGCAAAATGCTTCTAAAGATAAGCCTAATTCAGTCATAAACCAGGAGGCGATGGGGAGGAGGAGGGTGCACACAAAAATAATGCTGGTTTTAAACAAATGCTACTGCTCTTCTTAAGGTTTGCAAGCTGTACTGTGGCGCGTACTCGCCTGACCTAGATAACTAGCGTCACTATTCTGCACTAAATGTCTGCTAAGCCTCTGATTGGATGAAAGTACACAAATTTCATTATCCAGACCATGATCAACTCTCGATGCTATTAGATACATATACATGTATCTCCAATATTAAGTAGATTAGAACGATTCAGTCATATTTGGGTTTAATCTAAAAATGGAGATGCGAGATAATAAACTAACACACACACCCAACCCCTAACTTGACACGAGATAATAAACTAACACACACACACCCACCGCCTAACTTGACACGAGATAATAAACTAACACACACACACCCACCCCCCTAACTTGACACGAGATAATAAACTAACACAAACACACCCACCCCCTAACTTGACACGTGATAATAAACTAACACACACACCCACCCCCTAACTTGACACGAGATAAAAACTAACACACACACACCCACCCCCCTAACCTGACACAAGATAATAAACTAACACACACACACCCACCCCCTAACTTGACACGAGATAATAAACTAACACAAACACACCCACCCCCTAACTTGACACGTGATAATAAACTAACACACACACCCACCCCCTAACTTGACACGAGATAAAAACTAACACACACACACCCACCCCCCTAACCTGACACGAGATAATAAACTAACCTTTATGTGTTTTTGTTTCCTTCAGTCTATTACAAAGTTCATCAACAAGATTTTCTATGTCACAGTCCTGAAAAAAAAAGTTAAAGTTTAAAAGAAATATCAATCTCTTTCATATACAGTATAGATCTATATTACATTTCATTTTTTTATAGTTTCGATGGCCTCTACTACATGAAGATCTGACCGGTTGTAGTGGAAGGTCGCATCAGAGATCATACAAGCGACTTTTGACCCTATGACGTCAGACATACATTTGATTAACCAATTAACGTTAACGTTTCTAGTGGTTTACCCACAGTTCCATGTATCACACACCAAAAACTTGCGGTAACAGACCATTTCATTGGCTAATCCCCCCGGTCCTGAACACGGGTTATATAACAACTCTTCCAGATCCTAGAGTAGTAAAGACAAGTAAAACGAAATTTTGAACAATAAAAAAACGTAACGAAATAGGATCTGTGTTTTAATCAGATTCAAAGAAATAATACTTAAAACTACTTCCCAAACAAGTCAATCAGTAAGTTTGTTGTTTTTTCCGTCTGTTCGATATTAACGGGTTTAACAGGAAATTCATCAAGGACAACCATGTAACACTTAACACTGTAACCTGGGTATCATTTAATCTTGTGTATTTAACACTAATTTCTTTAACATTCATTCAATATCAAATCTTTGTTTGAAAATTCGTAAAAATCATTTAAAATCAGCAAAAAGCATCTAATTGATACCTGTTACATGTACATGTATCCAGTTAAAAGCAGACTGATTAATTTTGATAATGACTGTCCAATTTACAAGTATTTAATTTCCTGACCACTGTTCAAAGATTAATCATTATAAATCAATAATCAATCGGGTTGTTTATTTTTTTAACAGTGATCGAGAAATTAAAAACTTGTAAATTGGACACTCATCAGAATTGAATGGTCAGCTTTAACTTTAAACCAAATACAGGCACAAATTTGATGATTTTTGCTGATTTTAAATGAACAGTGCTTGAAAGTTGAGTAAATTCTTAACTTAAGTCTGAGAATGCCTTGTGAACTCAGGGCCTAACTGATTGTCAGCACGGAGCAAGCAAACTGTTGCTGAAAAGATCAGGTTCAGTTTTACATATTTAGATTTCTGCACCAGTCTCGGGGAATTTCTTTACAAACTGTTTTTGATCGATTTGATCCATGTGTTGTTCCGATTCCAAAACAGGGAGAGAAATGGGGTTTGATTAGTTTGTGCATAGGCCATTAGGTGTATTTAGCAGTGTGAAGAACCTGGATATAGGGAGAGAGAGATGGAATTAAGTCCACTCGAGACAAACTAGGTCATTTCCGGACTAACATAGGGTTCAATTCTATTTCAATAATTTGCTTGCACATAGGGGTCTATAGCAGTGGGAGGAAACCAGAGGACCCAGAGAAAACAAACGAGGATGAACAGATGAACCTACATTGTATTCCTTGTTACCGGTACGTACAACCGGGCAATCGAAACCACTCCAGTTGACTCAATGACAAGACTTTATGATGCAACGCCTACGCTCTAACCATTCGCCCCCCACCACACCCCATTAACAGACCTCCAGTAATATCCAGCAGCCTAAATATAATAACCACAATTTCCAATATAGACTATGACATACCTGATCTGAAACTGACTGGAGACATTCTAAAACAGCATTTTTTCTTCTTTCTTCATCACTAACTGGAGATTTCTTTTTGTGTTCACCCTTACGATCGCGTTTTTTCACTTGTTCAACCTTTTTACCCCATAACTCCTCCGTTTCAATCTGATCAGAGTAGTCATGTTGTAGTAGATTGATGATATAGCGGGTGTAGACTATAGAGTCTATGCCTCGTACTTCCAGCTGATGGCCAAGCCAAGAATGAACTGAGTCTGATGAAGGCAAAACTACCTCCAAAGACATCCTCAGGTCTGGATGCTTCATTAATAATCTACTGAACTTATTTATTATTTTTTTTATTCAACCCTGGTTTCAAATGACCAGGGTGTCACTGCTACAGTCACCATAAACAAAAAGGTCTATACCAGCTTCACTGGTTCCACTTTCTGGAGTTAGACATTTAAAACTGAAGATGCCAATCCATACTGGTATTTTTACCAGGTACTCGTACAAAAATATTTATATTGGCAGCCATCTGAAAAATATAAGATAATCATATTTAAGTTATGGTTAAACTCGCACTATTTTCTTGTATGGTTATCTCTTGTCAGTGGTGCAGCACCGAGTCCCTGGCAAGGCACAGTGTATAGTTATATGGATGGGATTTAAAACCAAGGTCTTGTGTAGGCCTACATATTGGCGTGCAAGTAAAAGAACCCTTGGCAGTTGGAATTTGATATAAGCGCAGGCCATAGCAACACTGGAGCTAAAATTTCCTCATACATGTAGCACACTGTATGACTGTCTTCATTAGCTGATTAGTGAGAGCAGAACATTAGGATGCTAAACCCATTTCATTTCATTTTCATTAACACGCAGTACAGAGAGAGAAATTATCATTCAGAAATCTCTTGATCTATAAGCAATGGAAACAGATCTATATTTCGTTTGGTTTTTTTTTTTTATCCTTTCGATGGCCTACACTCAGGCCTCGAAATGTTTTAAAAAAAGCTACCTGTCGTAAGCGACCGGTAGCTTTTCTTCATACCTGTCGCTTCAGTAAATAACCTGTCACTCTCAATTATCAAACTCAAAGACTAATCACATCATACATATCCATACATGTAGGTACACACACACGTGGTTAGGTCTTTGACGTAGGCTACATTGCTCTATATAAATATCGTAATATGAAACCTTTTTATTTCTTCGACATCGGAATGCCTAAAAGTTCTTGAAAGTCGGCGAATCTGCTTTGGCTCAGCGACTCGAAGATTCGTACAATTCTATCATCCGTATCCATGTGAATTCCGCAAAGTATCATGGTACCACATTTCCGTACTAAATCGAATACTTCACCGTTGAGTTGTAGAATTCAGATTTTAAAATATCCGTAATAAATTGAATATCAAAACACAAATCACACCTGTGCATGGCACCGTATTTACATGTACCGCGTGCGAAGGACAGATAACGCCACCTGGAATTCCCTTCTCACATATCCGGACTATATTTACGCTACAAATTATATTTATATATGAAATATTTTTCCGACCTGATTTTTTGATTTTGTCGTCTTATAAATTATTTATAGCCTTTATTTATGGAAATTGTTTTAAACTTTTTAAATGATTAAATACACCAAGTAACGAGCAGTGTGCATTTCCATTCCAACCACTACTATCTTTACTGTGGTGTCGTTACGGTAGAATTATTTCAGGTGACTTGGGGGTGCGTTTTAATTTATTTAGATATAATACTCCATAATGCTATAAACTAGTGTCAAGCAGATGAAAACAAGCGTAGATGGTGTGAAATTCATTGATATAAAATTGTCTACTTCCAAACTGTGTGAGTAACTGTAGCCTACGACAGAGCGAAATGTAAACAGTGCAAATGGCGGCTTTTCACGGTATTTCCGTGTTTAATTCTTGCATTTAGAAACAAATAATTAAATGTACGTGACGTGGACGTGAGTATTGTGGTCAATTTACTGAACATCAAGTAAAATTTAGTCCACCTGTCGCAAGCGACAGGTAGTTTTATTTGCTACCTGTCAGACGAAAAAATCGCCTGTCGGCGACAAGTAGACAGGCGAACATTTCGAGCCATGACAATACATGAAGATCTGACTGGTTGTAGTGGAAGGTCATGTCAGGGGTCATATGAGCGGCTTTTGACCTATGACGTAAGACATTGATTAATCAACCATCATTAAGCTTTGTATTGGTTTACCCACAGCTCCAGGCATCAAGAACTCGCCATAACAGCCTGTTTCATTTGCAGATCCTAGTGTTTTGAAGACAAGTAAAACTTTGAACTGTAAAAAACGAGATGAAATAGGATCTGTGTTTTAATCAGATTGACTGCCCAGATATGTAGTCTCAAATAGCTTTGCTGACTCTTATCAATGTAAATTCATGGATTTTGCTCCATACAATAATCAAGGCAGTTCACAAGGATTACAAATAATTCAAATTGGTTATGAGCATATGTACAGTTAAATCCGACATTGTACGGGATCGTTAAAATATAATAGATTATACAGCATGGCGGAATACTCAATACCGAAAGTATTATTGTACCTTCGAATACCAGAAGTAAAAATAATCTTCTTCGGTTGTATGTCGATGTTGCATTTGGTGGGGAAAATTTAATATTTACGTTGCTATAGCGCTCACATTTTTATCACACAATGATCGGTCAAGCAATGCTCTAAAAAACAAACCGGTTTCATCACAATTAAAAATGTTTTCAGGAGAATAACCTTCAATAATAGGCAGAATCCTTCAATGGTATCTAGATCCGCATCGGCACTTTCGCCACTAACTTTAAAGGTTCATTCGGCATACCCTAGATTCGTAGAGTTGGCTGAGATGTGCCGAATGGTTAAAGTAAAGGCTTTGATGTTGAAACCACTCATGCGTCATTCTGTCGATATCAAGGTACATGTAATCAACAAGAACCGACATTAGTATTAATCTCACCAATAATTGATTGGTGATTGCTTGTTAATTTTTTGTAAGTGAACACCTACGGATTGACGGTTGAATTATACAATGTTAATACAATGAACATCGTTCGACGGGACCACTGATTGAAGTCCTATTCATAATATTCAGAATACGGATTGAAAGTGATACGGAAATAAATCAGGACATGAAAATGAGGACAGATTTCACAAAATGCTGCACCACAGTATTCAGAAGTCGGATGTGACAGAGTCCAGGGGATCACATGGCTAAGTGGGTAAGACGCTGGCTCGCTAGCCTGGAGGTCGGGTGTTCGATCCCTGCATTGGCCGAGAAAGTTCATTCAGATTTTCCAGGGTGGTTTCCCCTTGTCAGTGATGCCGGATATAGGGCCTGACAAGGACAGCTGTCTAGTCGTTCAGATTGGACAAAAAAACGAGGTACCGTGTACACATTGGCGTGTATGTAAAAAATCCCTTGGCAGTTGGAATTCGATATAAGAGTAGACCGTAGCGCCGCTGCCCGGGCAAAATTTCCCTCATAGCACACTGTATGGTCGTCTTCATTAGCCCAGGTTAGGAGCAGAACAGTAGGATGTTTAATCATGTTCTCCTGATTTTGATTGTTTCTGTGTGTTTGAAGTATATGTTTGTGATATGCGCTTAGAAACACTTCATGTGTAATGAAGCGCTATATAAATCGAACAATAATAATAATAATAATGTTAAACCCGATTTCATTTCATTTCATTTCGTGACAAGAGTCCACTGTACATTAAAGTAACATAAATATACAATATAATAAAGGTAACTACTAACTACCAATACTAACTTATTATTAGTATAATATTAATAAGCAAATATCTTAATTTATCTCCCACCCAACCCAGCCCAACCCAAACAAACACAATATTATAAATAGACTTAATAATAAAATTGTGTAAGCTTTTCAATGAATGATATATTTGAAAACTAGGATCATTCGTAATAAAATTCCCAGGGAAGAGAAATACATTGTTATCTACATGTACATGCACATGTATGAATTGACAACTTGACCGCTTCAATACATGTATCATGTATATGTTTAAATTATGTACTGACAATACATGTACATACTGTACTGTATTAAACAACAAACAAAAATCACTATACTAGATATTACCATTATAAACCATAACACATTATTGGCTTTGATATAATATCCATTCAACATTAAGTAGTTCCTGTTTGTTTTATTTTATGGCTTCACTAAGGTCAAGGTTGAATAATATTATTACTATTGTTGAGCATTCATTTTAAAGGAGAAATTTCACTCTATATTACAATGAATAAAACTTATAAACAAACAATATGCAAGAGCTAAATCTGCCTATTGTCAATTGCAGGTCTTTCTTTAGGCCCGAAATGTTATATAAATTATTAATTAGACATTAATTAACTTATCCAGACTACATGTATAATCAACTCTTGATGTCACTGCTAGCCTGCGATATTTATTGGATTGGAATCTGATCTACTGCTCAACACTCATTGATGATTAAATCAAAAAATGGATAATCGAGACTATGTTTTTTATTGTACCGACTTTAGTAATAATGATCGAGGCTAGGCCTGAAATTCAATCGCTAAATTCTCAGTTCAGAGAGGATCAATTTGACTGAAAGTTTCAGCAAATTACCTTTACATTATCTAGTTTTCAACTATTATAGTGAGAACTGCCAACTCCTTATCTAATCTCCCGTATCATAAATTTCTTAGGAACCATTTAAAATGTGACCAGAAATGTGAACATCTTTAACAGTAAACTGCCAATAATACTTCTGGCCTACAATGTACATGTGTACATATTTAAATTCTTCCTCTAAGAGTACAATTGTAGGATTAAAAAAAAGAATGTTATGTAAGCAAATATCTAGGCCTAGGTATTATGTAACCAATAATACCAATGTTGTATAAGCCTTAGATTGCTTTGTTATTATTAAAATAGTCCTGGCCAGCTTAACTTATTTACTTATAAAGATACATTATGTAAGATTTAGATAAAGAGCTGGCCATTCTTACTATAATAGTTCGAAAATAGATAATGCAAAATGAATTTATTGAAAATTTCATTCAAATTGCTCCATTGCAAGTGAAGATATTACCTTTTGAAGGTTTCACAAGATATGTGCATTAATTGCAACCACCGCACTGGTTGTTCGTAGCTTAGCCTTTCTTCACCATTTTTAGATTTTAATCACAATATTGAATATAGTTATAGCTGAATAATTCTAATCTACTTAATATCGGAGATATCTAATGACATCGAGAGTTGATTATGGTCTTGTCATACTAATAAAAGTCTAATTAATAATTTAGATAACATTTTAGGCCTTAAAAAGACCTGCAAGGGGCAGATTTACCTCATGCAAAATGTATGTTTAAATATTAATCGGGTATGAGTCCAGCACAATATAATAATACAAGCTTATTGTATCGTAAACAAAGACAACTACATTATCACTAGTTTTTGAGCCTTTATTTATAAACAATTAACTAATTGTGTCCCCTATGACCAAACTACTTTTTTTATGGTTTGAGAGAGAGGGAAATGGGATTTAACGTCCACTCGACACAAACTTGATCATTTCGGGACTAACAGTAACATGGTTCAATTTTATTTCAATAATTCGCTTGCGCGTAGGGCGTCTTTAGCAGTGGGAGGAAACCGGAGGACCCGGAGAAAAGCCATGAGGTTGGAAGGCGACCCTACTCCTTGGCACATACAAGCAGGGAATCGAAACCACGCCAGTTGACTCAATGACAGACCTTATGATAAAGCATGCACATGCCTGTCTTAATATTATATAAATTTTTATAAGGAAATGGCCAAATTACATAAGGACTTCTTCTATCTATAATGCTGTTGTCAAAATTGAAGTGAAGTGCATTTTTTGAGGGTTTTGTAGGTTTTTATGTGTCTTCATCTTAAAATATAAACACTTTCATGGCGAAGAAACTGGTACCTTTGGCACAAAAGCAAATCTGAAGTACATGTCATCAAAATTTTTGTCATACACGTTAAGCTTTATTTTGATCATAATATTTATTACCGGTAGTTTTAAAGATAAAGAAAAAATTGCTTATCTACATGTAACATCTGCTATCAATCAGTGACATTCACTGTGAATAATAAAATTTAATAGATTGTGTAATTGTCTTCATTTGAATTATTTTCTTTGCCCTAGCTCAAGCAATTGCAGTTTGTTACTGTTGCAGCCCATGATTGTCAAATTTGCACGCCCCCCCCCCCTTTTATCATCAGGTTGATCTTTCAAGGGAACCTTTTTAATTCTATGCCCTGGAATATTTAATTGAATTTTGTTAACCAGAGGTACATGTAATTTCAAGCACATTGGCCTATTTAAGTTTTTAATAGCCATAGTTAAGTAATCTGTTCAGCCGTGTGACAAAAAGCCCCCAATATAAGTTTACTATTCATTCCGGTTTCCACCCCTGGTTTTTACCTAGCTCCACAATGCGCCAACAGGCCCATAGAACGTACAGGGCGAGTGTAACAAGACTTACGAGTTAGGCCTACCTGGAATAGTTTTTATTAAGCCTAATCTTACTACACATGTATCTACACTGAACTGACATCAACAGTGACAGCCCATTAGGCCATCTCCCTTCGGAAACAACTGAATAATTATTTAATGGAAGTAAAATTTTGTCCATTATTACAACTTACAAGGCCATCTAGCTATTAGCCTAGTTAGAGTTACTTTTAGGGAAACACTGTCTAAATCTTCACTCGAATCACTGTGATGAGTGGGAATCACACCGATGACCATAATTATTACTTAGTCTTTACGGCTTCGGCTACAGAAGGCCTGTCCGTACTAACTCTACACGTACTGTGCAACAATATATCATTAGAAAAAAAGGTCAAAGGAGTATTGCGACGTACTGGCTTGTTTCAGTGATAATTTCGTCAGCCATTTTAGCAATGGTATAAACGCGTAACTTGTGTCGCGACGCTGGGCAATCGAGGTTGAATATCGCCTTCCTACTTGCGAGTCTCGATCAATCAATACACATTCCTCCCTCCATCTCTCATTTTCTACATCAGCCGATCGAAAAACCCTCACCGTACGAACAAAAATACAACAGTGTGCAGATTCGTAACAACAGACGTAAACAACACTGTGTCTTGGGATTGAAAAATATATTTTACCTGCGAATAAAGCAACAAATCCATGTCCTTTCCAATCACCAATGCACCTTCCTCCCGCAACTGTCAAAATCTCGGGAGATATGCCAAGCGACTATTCCAGAATTCATTGCTTCATTCCTCCAGGGTTTTCGTTCTCCGGCAAATTAGGTGATGGCTGTTATGTTCTACATTTACAACGCCATTCTTATTCTCGGCTACACTGAAATTATTTCGATAGATGATCGAAAAATACAATTTAGTAAAAGGAGCCGAAAATTTCTCAGCCGACCTTTGGATAGACGGTGCTCGGTCCTGACCGGAAATTAGTCCGCAATAACAATTTAGTCTCTAACAAAGAAGTAATTTATGGGATACAAGATATTTTGTCAATAACTATTTTCTACTTATTATTATCTCAATGCTGTTCTTTAGATATTTGTATAGTCACAGTATTGACAAGTATGAAAAACTCAAAGGGTCAATGACAGAAAACTGCAGTGCGTAATAATATTTTGTGTCTGCATTTTTCAGTTAGGCTATATGGCAACGAGGACTACTTTTAGTAGGGATTCGAATTATTCGCCAAATGAAACATTTATTTGGAGAAATTGTAGTAGTAAAAGATATATGAGAAACTGTTAAATTTATTTTAAAATCGATAATAAAAGTACAGATCAGCGATTAATTCATTTTCTAGATCTATAGCCAACATTTTAGAAGATTGCGCCAATCGAGCACTTGCTCACGTTACCGGTACTGACTTTTGTTTGGTGTTTAAAGATGCTGATAAGTAAGTAAAGTGGAAGATGACACACGTTTATCTGAAATAAAATATAATTGAATCATTGTTTGTTTTAGAATCTGTAGCATAGATACTGAATTTGAAACGGAACAATGACATTATCTACACATTAATTAACGCGCCTTAAGTAAAAAAAAATGGGGCGTCGCATATCGAACTGTAAAAAATGTAGTTATCTCCCCTTAACTGGACTTGCATTTTTGCCACGTTAAAACGGTAGGAAACTTAAAACTAATATGTACCAATACAAAAAGATATCCAGTTAAAGATTGATTTAGGCCCATAGCCTACCAATAACAAACGATTTGGCTCTAGCAACAGGTTTCATAACGACAATATAGGCCTAAAAACAAGTGAAGCAACACGATGATCAACCAATTCTCGGCAAAAATAAGTACAGGGACCAAATGCAGTTGTAGTTTGTAGCGGTAGTTACTTTAGTAAAGAATTCTTAATGGCTATGCTCTCTATTTTAGCGGCGGAGGGTGGATTGCATTGAGAGTGATGGTCATAGGCGTAGGAGCCGGGGGGGGGGGGGCCCAAAAAAATTTATTTTCGGGCAATGAAAAATTCGACGACCTTTTTTTTCTATTAATGTTTAGAGAAAAAATATAACTACATGTAACTTATTTCTATGAGATCCACACTGCCCGAAAAGTATTTTCTCGTCTTTTTCTTGTCCACTGCATATGCCCGAAAATATGCCCGAAGCTCTCTTATGATAGGTATGCCCGAAAAAACGGTATTGCCCGAAAATAGGTATTGCCCGAAAAACGGGCATCGGGCCGGAAAGCGGCAGAGGAAACTAGCAGTAAAACGCGTTTGCGACCGTCAAATATTCCAAAATTTTCTTGGCGGGTCATTCGCCTCTCAAAGAAAACCGGCACCGCTGTCTATAAATCCGAAATTTTTCGGGCATTTCTAGTTTTGCTTCCCTAACTGTCATCGAGCCCTAATAAAACACTAATTTTACTTTTCTTGTAATTAAATATCACAAATTTGTACTGAGTTGACTATGGATTAAAACATTTTGTCTGGAGCCACTCTACTTTGTGCGACATTTTTCAGGCATCGATTATTATTTGTGACTGCAGATGCAACAGTCTGATTGGATGGTTAGAATTCAGAGTGGGATTTCAGTTACAAAACCATTGGATACTTTTGGAGTTGCTTACACGGGCTAGAATAGCAGAAAACGCATTTACGGTGATTAAATTATCAAATTTTTCTCCGGGAGGGTGAGGCCTCCATATACCGCGCGACGATTGATTGGTTGTTTGGAATTCGGGTCAGCCAGGTAGGCTATATTGGACCAAATTGAAGTTGCTGTATTCACAGACTGGAATAACAGGAAAACGCGTTTGCGGCAGTTACATTTTCAAAATTTTCTCCCAACGGTCCCGTCTTCGAGGACTGTAAACGATTGATTGGAATTCGAGTCAGCCACCTTAATAAGGCTATAATATATATTCGACCACTTTGAAGTTGCTTTGTTCACCGGCTGAAATAGCAGGAAAACGCGTTTGCGACAGTTAAATTTTCAAAATTTTCTCCTAACGGTCCCGTCTTCGAGGACTGTAAACGATTGATTGGAATTCGAGTCAGCCACCTTAATTAGGCTATATTAGACCGCTTGAAGTTGCTTTGTTCACTGGCTGAAATATCGGGAAAACGCGTTTGCGGCAGTTAAATTTTCAAAATTTACTCCTAACGGTCCCGTCTTCAAGGACTGTAAACGATTGATTGGAATTCCGAGTCAGCCACCTTAATTAGGCTATATTAGACCACTTTGAAGTTGCTTTGTTCAACGGCTGCAATAGCAGGAAAACGTGTTTGCAGCCGTCAAATATTCCAAAATTGTCTTTGGGGGGGGGGGGGTATACAAGGTCGCTGCTGTCTGTAAACCCGAAATTTTTTCGGGCATTTCGGGTTCTGCCCCCCTAACTGTCATCGAGCCCCTACGCCTATGGTGATGGTGGGGCAGTCGGGATGTTCCTCTGGTTCAGTTTGGGGTAAATAAAGTTGTAGGCTATTAGTTGTATACAGGCTACCCTTTGTTCTGAAGTTCCCCCACCCCTCCCAAATAAAATAAAATGAAACGGGGTTTAGGCCCTAACGTCACACTTTTTCTGCACCGACTAGACTATAATGAAGACGGACATACAGTGCGCTGTGGGGATAGGCACTTATTTGCCAGGACAGCGGCGCTGTGGCCTACTCTTGTTTAATTCGAATTCTAACTGTCAGGGGTTATTGTAACTGCACGCCATTGTGTACACGGGACCTCGGATTTCGTCCCATCCGAACGACTAGACACTGCCTTTACACCGGGAGCGAACCCCTGCTTACCGAGCCAACGTCTCTGTCTGTAAAACAACTGATAAAGGTGTTTATTGAAGCTTACGTTCATTAAACCGATTTACAACAGTCGACATTCAGAGAGGCTTAATTGATTTCTTGGAACAACTGGCTGTCAAAAAGATAAACATGCGTCCTTGTGATGTCAATCAAAACTAGGCTTAGATCGATTGTTTAGAATGTAAGACGATCAACACACGCTTAAAGCATATTGTTGCCTTTTGGGAGAACGTTTTGTCGTAGGGTACGTGGATTGCGCGTTAGAGTAAGGGTTAGGCTCGGTCCAAGGTGTTAGGGTTATCGGGAGGTGATGGTTCTTTGCAGATCCCCCACAGAGAGCACAGACCGTGGGTCTAAAGTTTCCTAACCCTTGCGGGAATCGAACCCATGACGGCACCCATTCGCCTCGCAGTTGCCGGTCCGGGTCTCTGCAACTGAACTATCGCAGAACCATATAAAAATGTTGATTAAGAACTCAGCGATTAGGGCGCCTGTCGACAACTACTGATTTAATTTATGAAATTCGACCGAACTTAGCCTAGACACTGGCCAGGTTCGGGTTTAAGAATATGGCGGAGATGAATTAAGTCTCCACATAAGCACCGACCTAGGCTGATGAAAATTTGGTTCGTGATATTTCCTAGTTTTATTAAAAATACATGCAATATATAGATGAACATACATGGTTGGTTTCCCTGTTCTTTGGTGTTGGCGGCGCTGATGATATTCCTTCGGTGCTGCTTGTGGTAGTCTGGTACATGTATTTTGGTTTCGTCTGAAGAAACAAGAATACATTTGAGTGCCACATTAGTGTGTTTCCTACTTAGGATTGGATTTTTTAAAAATGAGTTTTTTCCCCTATCCCGGGGTAAGGGCTGGGGATTCTTATAACTAGTTGATTTTATTTACTAAGGGCTAGGGCTATAAGGGTTTAAAATATTGTTTGTTTTGGGTTAGGGTGAGGACTGGTCTTATTTAATCTAATTTACTGTTCACTGGGATGTCGTTCAGATTTTTATTTTTAGAATATGCCATTATAAGTTTCTGTGTGAAGATTTTCGGGTGGTTTTCTTGGAGATCAGTATAGTGTTTTCTGATGATTTTGGGTGCACTTGCTGCTGTTACGCTAAATGGAACTACAAAGGGGGCTAGCCGTACGAATATTCAAACCTGGGGGGAGGGGGGGGGGGAGGCTGTTGTTTTCAATTTGTCAATCCAGAATTTTTCTTTTGTTAGTCTAAACGTTTTAATTTCTTCTGTAGTTTCAAAGTCGCTCTTAGTCTTTTCTATTGGCGTGACAATGCGATCAGAAATGTCTTGATTTGGTTGGTTGAAGTGAATTGTCTTTTTCGGTGACTATGTCTGATCGGTGACCGTTAATTCTTTCCCTAAGTGCATTTTAGGTCTCCCCTACGTATTGTTTGTCACATTGTCTGAATGAAATTAGATAAATTATCTTTGAATAGCTGCATGAAAGTTGGTCTAATATTGAGAATTGCACGCCAGATGTTTTGTTATGGAAATATTAGAATCTAATGAAACAGAAAGGGAAAAAAAACGATCTGTAAAAGATAAGCGGATATACACGGTATCAACACGGTATGGGATGTGACGTCACACATTAATAACCTATACTGCACGTGAGCGTAACATTCTGTCATCCTGTACAGGCTTAGATGAAGGCTTTCGCATCACCGCTATGGAACATGCCTGTCCAACCTCGTGGGTTTTCTCCGGGCCCTCCGGTTTCCTCCCACTGCCAAAGACCCCTACGCGCAAGCGAATTATTGAAATAAAGTTGAACCGTGTGTTAGTCCCGAAATGACCTAGTTTGTGTCGAGTGGACGTTAAACCCCATTTCTCGCTCGCTCACTCTCTCTCGCTGTGGACTAGATTGGTGTAATAATATACATGAATCACCCAATATCACATTGTACAGTAAAAATCGCTTGTGTGATAACTTTCATATTCTACTGTGCGATATCTTCTAGGAGATATCGCTTGACATGAATTTCATTTATACCCAAAGAATTATATTTATTTGTGCGTGTAGGATTTGGAGATATATAATATCTTCTACTCTCGTCAATTTTTCGTTTTACTTCCCTTCGCTACACACACACTGATCAGCAGTGAATATT